TGTGAGTCACCAGTGCTTGGAAACAGCTGAATTTTTTTTTTCACGGAAAACCTAGTACCTGCAATGACATGTGGGTACATGTTAATAATGGAAGATTTGTTACTGAGATTTCTTGTGGAGTTCTCTAGAGTTAGACTTACAGAGTACACTTTTGAAGGGGAATTATAAGCACTTGCTATTGAGTCTGTTTTGTTTTAAACAAGTGGATTAAAATTTTACATATTTAATGTACTTCCAGAATGCTAGAAGCTAATCACTATCTTTCGGGAAACATGAATTTTGGTTTTATATTGTGTTGATTTTTTTTCCTTAAGATAAAACTCACTGGTTCTATTTCAGCACTCACAATTGATGAGTAGCACTAAGAATCATCTGCTCAATTCTGCCCCAAAATATCCAAAGAAATACCCCTCTCAATTGTCCTCATTTTTTCCTTCTCTGAAACTACTCTCTTTATCATATAAACTATATACTTGGAAATCCAGTATTCAATTTTAAAGAATGATGATTTTCCCAAATACTTAAATAACTTTGTTAATGAATTAAAATATGTGGTCTATTACAAAATTATATGACTCGTGGGTAAGGTCTTACCTCATTTAGTACTCTGAAATGGACCCTTTTCTCACTCCTTTTATATCAAAGAGACAAAAAATTTCTTTTAAAAACCCAGTCGTTGGTGGCTCACACCTGTAATTCTAGCCACGAAGCAGGCTGAGATCTGAGGATAATGGTTTGAAGCCAATGCAGAGAAGAAAGTCCTTGACACTCAGCTCCCATTACCCACTAAAAAGCCAGAAGTAGATCTGTGTCTCAAGTGGTGGAGTGCGACGTTACGCAAAAATGCTCAGGGACAGCACCCAGACCCTGACCTGAGGTCAAGCCCTGGGACTGGCACAAAAATAAAGATTTATTGGTGAAACCATATATAAGCCTATACTTATACTAAGTTTCAGGAGAGACATTTCAGTCTAAATCCATGATTCTATAAGTTGAATGACAGAAAGTCTACCTTCTCAAGAATAGAGAATTTGGATCTCCCTGTGATATGTATATTCAGTGGAAGTTGTAAAGCAGGTGAGTCATGCGCCTCCCTCATGAAAATCAAGACATCTTCACATCCATGTTCTTTGCCTTTGGTTATAATAAAAAATATCAAAAATTGGGTGGATCTGTTAAAACAACAAAAGAAGTGTTCCCAAAATCAGTCTCACTGAGCCAAAAGCAAGGGCAGGGCCTTGTCACCTCTGGAGACTCCAGGGAAGAATTTGTGCCTCTCCATTTCCCACTTCCATCCTCTGCCAGCACTCCCTGGCTTGTGGCTGCATCACTAGTCCTCCAAGCCAGCATCCTCGGGTCTCTTCTCTGTTTTCATACCCCAATCCCTTCAGTGTGTCTGTGGAATCTCTTTTGTAAGGACGGGATCACACTGGTTGCTTTGAGGAACATACAGACCATCAAGATAATCTCCCCATTGCGGATCCTTAATCGAATCACATGCACAAATTAAAAAAGGAAGAAGAAGTAGGGTGTACTTTTATACTATTAAGTGAAATTTAAACTAGAAATTACAGGCCAATGAAAATCTGGTTTTTCTATTTTAAAAAATACATTCTCAGCACTGGTGAGAGGAACATTGTCTAAAGAGTACAGTGCAGATATTTTGCTATAATCTCATTAAAAATTTAATACAGCTGGAATCTGGTGGCTCACACCTGTAATCCTAGCTACTCGGGAGGCTGAAACCTGAGGATCTTGGTTCAAAGCCAGCCCAGGCAGGAAAGTCTGTGAGACTCTGATCTCCAATAACCTACTCAGAAAAAGCTGAAAGTAGCACTGTAACTACCAAATGCTAGCCTTGAGCACAAAGAGACTCTGGGACAGCACCTAAGTCCTGAGTTCAAGCCCCAGAACTGGCAAAAATGGGGGGGGGGGGTGTGAATATTAAGAGATACTTTGACATCAAGTCCTGAGGTTGGACAGGAGTGCTGTAATGAGACTCGGTATTTTTTCTTCACTGAACCCAGTGGCTCTAGTTCATACCCCCATCTCTAATCTCTAGTCTGTTGCGTGTGAAACAATGATAATCCTAAACTTGGGAGGCTGAGGCGGGGAGAGGCCAGTCTTTATTACATATGAAGGCCCTGTCTTTAAAAGTTGAGAAAAACAATCATACTGTTCCTTGACTCCTCTTCCCTCTCTGGTTCTTTTTCAAGAGCTCTTATTCCCTATTCTTCCTCTCTCTCCACTCCTTTCTTGTCTGACCCTCTGCCAACACAGCCCTGATGTCCCACAGCCCTTTCCAGTTCCACTTTTATCTAACTTTGTCCCTTCCTGAGTCATTCTTCTCCTCTCCCGTCTTATCCTGATTCCCCCCCACACACACCCTTAGATTCTCTTTTGTAGACTCCCTGATAGGGCTGTTACATGTTCAATGGTCTCAAAGCTCAAGTCCTAGGTGCCTCTTTCCCCACCCCCACCCCCACCCCCATGGTTTTCCTGAACTTGACTAAGCATGCTGGTCCATTTCTACATCGACAACTCTCTTTCCTATTTCTGTTTCCTTCTCAGACCTCTCCTGGGAGCTTCAGCTCTGCTTATCCAGTTGCACACTCCCCGTCGCTGCTAGGAGATCTCACGAACTGCAGCCAGAGGATTTTTTTTAAATGCCAATCCAATCAGCCCATTTAGATCCTTTCAGATATTTTAATCATATAGCATTGCTTGCGTAGAAGGATCATCAACTGACCACCTCTGCAACCCAACTCTCCTCAGGCTCCTTGGTCTCATCATCTCCTGAACACAAACTGATTTGCAGTTGCTTTAGTGTGTCAGGCTCCATTTCTGAATCACGTAACTCATTCTCCACTTTCTCTTAATAGAAAAGATCATTTGTATCTGTGTAATGTATGTTAAGTGATTCAATTAAAGTTTGTGCGCCATTACTCTTTGATCAGTGAGGGAAAAGGCTCATTTATCATCTTTCTAATTTGTCCTCAAAGCTTAGTTCAACACCTGGCGCCTAATAAGCAGTTAGTCAAAGATTTCTTGTAAAAAAGTTCATTTCAGCCGGGCGCTGGTGGCTCACGCCTGTAATCCTAGCTACTCAGGAGGCTGAGATCTGAGGATCGCGGTTCAAAGCCAGTCCGGGCAGGAGAGACCGTGAGACTCCTATCTCCAATAAACCACCAGAAAACCGGAAGTGGCGCTGTAGCTCAAGTGGCAGAGCGCTGGCCTTGAGCTGAAGAGCTGAGGGACAGCGCCCAGGCCCAGAGTTCAAGCCCCACGACCAACCAAAAGAAAAAAAAAAGTTCATTTCAGTAAAACACACACACACACACACACACACACACACACACACACACACATCTATAAATCCAGTATTCCAGTATGTGGGAGGCTGAGGCAGGAGATCATCAATTTGAAACCAGCCTCAGCTACTTAAGCCTCAGTTGAAAAAGAAAAGAAAAAATTATTGGAATACAGTGTAAATATACATGGAGAAGAGAAAAGATAGGGGAGAGGAGAGGAGAGGAGATGGTGTGTGTATAATCAAAGGAAATGAAGTAATGAAGGTTGGAATCACTTGTCCAAGTTCAAGACAGCAAGTCTGATACCATAAGCAGACATTCTATTTCTAGCCCCCATTACCAACCCTCTCTTCAAGGAGCTTGTCCTGAATTTTGTTCTGAATCATTGGAACCAAAGCAACTATACAACTAATCAAGTCCAATTTCTCAACCCTACCATTTTCTGCAGATGGCATTTATTCAGCACAGGGATACTGTAGGCATAGCAATTCTTTTTTTCCATGAAGCCCATGATATCTTATTGCTGCTTCTCAATGGGATATTGTGGTAAACTGTGTCACTGTTTCAAACTTGGAAAGCTTCTAGAGATTCTCAGAAGAAATATAACATGGAAGTTTTTTTGAAAAGCAATTTTTTATCTCTTGCAATAGAATTACCTGTTCAAAAAATAATGCTGTCATTTTGAAAACTCATATCTCCAGAAGAACATTCTATTAGGTGGGCTAATCATCATCATAGTCCCAGCTGCTCTGTACAAAACTTTTCTTACATGTGAAAAAGGAAAAAGCCACTTTGTTATGTGGAAATGTCTTGTGGGTTTTATTTAAAGACATGTACACACGCACACGCACACACACACACAATGCCCAGTGGTTCAGAAGTGGCTGCTGCACTTACAAGATACCTAGTTTACCCCTGTAGAAGCCTCAGCACCTAACACAAGGGTCTTGGTGCCATGAAAGGAAATGGAATCATTATTTCTGAACTCCCTCTGCTCACGTCAGTGACTCCCACCTGCAGCCCATCCCCTGGTATAAGTACCTGCAAATCTTCCTGCAGACCGTAGGCAGGCTGACCTACAAGGGCCAGCCAAAACCCAGCTCCTGGTAAGCCTTACTGTCTGCGCTTTGGGTTTCTGTCTCTCTTTTGGCTTAGGGATGAAGACTGTCCCTATCTGCATTGGGTTGGGATGTCTGTCTGTTTGATTGACTCAGGGTGTGTGTGTGTGTGTGTGTGTGTGTGTACATTTCTCACTTTAGGATATCTGAAGTCTTTCTTTCTCCCACTTTTTATTTTTCTCTTTTAAAAGACTGTAAAGACTGTTAATGGAAGGCTTTGATTTTTCTGGTTTTGTTTTAAAATTTGCACTTTCTTTGGAGATAATAAAGTGTGCATTTTTTCATGGATAAAAAGACATACCCCAAATTTTCTAGGTCATATTCAGAATTTCTTTGCTCCTCACTATCATCTTCTCATCATCATAAAAACGAAATGCCTCAAGCTAACCAGTTGAATTTGGAGAGCCTCAGTGAATCTGGAAAGAAGATGGTTGTAAAATTTGTAACCTGATACATGATTTCTCTTTCTTGTCTGACTTTACACGTGTTTCCTCTTTCTCTTCTCTGACGATGTCTCTTAATGACCATTGTCAGTCCTCTGGTCTCTCCTTTTATTCAGCTTCCTTGAATCATGGCCAATGTGCACCTCCTGCTGCTGTGTGCTGCCCTGGTGTTTACTAGCCATGTGCATGGAGCCACACTGAGAAATGAAGACAAATGGAAGCCACTCAGCAACCCCAGGAACAGAGAACTGGTAAGAACACAGCTGGGGCATATAGGTGGGTGCAGGGGGAACTGTAAGTATAGGTTCTGTATTCTAGAGCATGGTGGAGAGGATTCCCAATAGAACAGGACCCAAGAGAGAGAAGAGAGAAAGAGAGGAGAGAGAGAGAGAGAGAGAACTTTATGGTATTTCTAATACTTTACAGAATCAATGGTAATTACTAGGGGATATAACACAGTGGTAAACACTTGCCAAATGTGTGTGAGGCCTTGAGATTTATCTCTAGTATGAGAGACAGGCAGTTGATGGGAGAAAGACACAGAGAGACAGAGAGACAGAGACAGAATGAAACTGAGGAATTTCTATTTGTTCAACGAGATAACCTTGTTTACAAACCCAATTGCAAGAAATTGAAAGTTGATCCTGCATCATTACTGTTTATTTTCACCATGCAGTTTCTTAAAAAATAGAAAATAAATCAGTCCAAATCTTTAGAACATATAACAAATACAATAAGCATACAAATACAAACATAACTGTAAGATTAAAAAACAAACTGAGCTATGCTCTGTGCACAGCTTCTTTGTGTTCATTTCCTAAAATGAATCTGGAAAGCTCTTCTCTGAAAAGAAACCACTGCAGCAGGCAGGGACGGGGACAAACCCTTCATCAAAGGAGACCCGATCTGATCACTATGGCATTTAGCTACTTCTCTGGCTTGAGTATTCAGAGATGCTTTACCCTGAATTCTGTGCCTACAGTGTTGTTGAATAATGGATATCCACTCTTGATTTTCACCAAGAGTGATGGATCATCTGTCTTTTTGAGGGTTTAAATATCAGAAAGAAGAAGGTAAGGACGGAGGTGGGGGAGGAAAAAAAGCTTGTACTTTTCTCTTTTTTCCTTTTTAAAAAAAAAATTTCAACTATAAGCTACCTAGACCAGACTTAAATTCAATTCTAGAAGGAAAAGAGAAGGGGAAAACATTCAACTTTGAATATTTTGAGGTTTCATTTTCTACATGATGTTGACTATTTTCTTTCTCTCTTTAGTTTTTCAGAAGCCTTCAGGCATATTTTAAGGGCAGAGAAGTTTCCAAATATTTTCTCCATGAGTGAGAATCCCAGGCCCCTGTCCTTCCCAATCAGAGCGTATTGCTGCTGCATTTGCAGATTATGAAGAGCAGAAAAATCTCTTTCCCTAAACACCCTTGAAGGCTGAAAGTTTCCTCTGAGATCAGGTAAAAGCTGCTACTTTAACCCCAGGATCTGTCCAAATGTACAACTGTTAAGTAGTTGGATATTCCAATAAACACTGGATCTGGAAGTTTTTCTTTGGGAAATGGTTTTGTTTCATTATAGAAATGGATGTTTATTTCTCATTATATGCATTATTGTTAAATACATGGCTTTGGGTCAGATATTTTATAGTCGTGTGTGTGTGTGTGTGTGTGTGTGTGTGTGTGTGTGTGTGTGTGTGTGGTGTGTGCTGTGGTGTGTGCCAGTCCCTGCTTGAACTCAGGGCTGTCTCTGAGCTTTTGTGCTCATGGCTAGTGCTCTACCACTTGTAGCCACAGCTTCACCTCTTGCTTTTTTGGTAGTTTAGTGGAGATAAGAGTCTCACAGACTTTCCTGTCCAAACTGGCTTTGAATCATAATCCTCAGATCAACATCCTGAGAGGCTAGAATTACAGGTGCCTAACATGTCTATTGTTGTTGTTTTGTTTGTTTTTTAAAGAAATTATGATTTCAGAGAATCAAAAGGTTCATTTTTTTCTCTCATATGTGGAGTTAGATCTAAATTATAACCATGTGTGAATATTGCAGGGTCATAAGAATATATACATAAACAAATCAACTAAAGTATGGTATACCTCAGGGGAGGATACCAATGGTATAAGTCCTCTAAACAAAAGATTAACAGCTTAACAAAATGAATATCAGGAAGCTGAAACACATTTTGGGGGGTTGAGGAAAAGTCAAGGGGAAGTAGACAAATGGGGAAAGGAAAAGTGGAAGAAAAGTCATTGTATTTGATGTACATATGTGAACATGGAACCAACAAAATGAGTGTGGGTAGGGTTGGGAAAGACAGGGCTGATGGAGGATTGACATTTATCACATTATATTGTACTTATATACTCATTTGTTGAATTGAAAACCCCTTTGTACAACTACTTAAAGATAATTTTGGTTTTTCATTGGTCTGTGCTGGGGCTTAAACTCAGGGCCTGAGTGCTGTCCTTGAGCTTTTTTATTTTTTATTTACATTTTTTTTCTTAAGGCTAGGGCTCTACTGCTTCAGCCACACATCCAATTTTGGCTTTCTGGTGGCTAATTAAAGATTAGAGTCTCATAGAACTTTCCTGCACAGGCTGGCTTTGAACCAAGATTCTCAGATCTCAGCCTCCTAAGTAGCTTTGATTACAGGTATGAGCCATCAGAGCCTGGCCTTATAGATAACTTTTTAAAAAGAAATGCTAGTTATGATTTTTAAAGCATATTTTCTAGAGGAAGTATATTAAAATGGTAAAATTGTCACTCTCAATACAATTATTAAATTAATGAACTAGTGTATACTCTCACCTATATCCAAAATTAAATATGAATTTCAACAACTGAAACAATTGGATTAAATAGGGAATAAAAGTTAAAAGAATGTATCTTTTTTCTTTTCACTGATTGCACGTGTATTTTAAATACATTTTATTGCTAGATGCTTGTGGCTCATGCCTGAGGCTGAGATCTGAGGATCAAGATTCAAAGCCAGCCCCTGGCTGGAAAGTCCTTGAGATGCTTATATCTACTTAACCATCAAAAAGCTGTAAATGGAACTGTGGAAATAAAGAACAAGAACTTCAAAAAACTTAGGACAGTGTCCAGCGCCTTGAGTTCAAGTCCCAGAACTGGCACAAAGCAAAATAAAATAATAGAGCTGGATAATGTGGCTTAGTGGTAGAGTGCTTGCCTTGCACCATGAAGCCCTGGGTTTGATTCTTCAGTACCACATAAACAGAAAAAGCCAGAAGTGGTACTGTGGCTCAAGTAGTAGAATGCTAGCCTTGAGCAAAAGGAGCTCAGGGGACTGTGCCCAAGCCCTGACTTCAAGCCCCAGGACTGGCAAAAATAAATAAAATAAATAAATTGTATTTTTCAAAGAAGTTATAGTATGAAAAAACTTGAGAAGAATACAGTACGAAGAAAGTCCATGTATCCCACCCTTTCACCCCTTCAGTTTTCCAATTTATTATTACCATCTTTATTATCTTGGTACAGTTGTTATAAATGATGAGTCCGTATGGATACATGAATATTAAAAGTTCATAGTTTACCTCGTAGAGTTCATGCTTGCCTAACACAAGTAATGCAGTTCTGTGCATTTGTCAAATGCATAATGTATGCACCCATCTGTACAGTATGCATGAAACAATTTCATCGCCCCCAAGTCCCCTTGTTGCTGCTCACTTCCACAGAGCCTCTGGGCCACATAAATCATTTTAGTGACTCTTATTTTCCAAGTGTCACATGGTTGGAATTCTATAGTCCTAGTCCTTTCATATTTGTTTTTTCTCTCCTTTTCACTCCCTTTTGGCTATAAAGAATACAATATCCACAAAGGAGTGATTCTTTTAGAAAGTACTGTATGTTTATATATATATATAATATTATATATATACATATATATATATATAATATATTCAAACTTGAATTCTCCTTGCTTAGAGAAAAAGTAAAAATGCATATATATGTTAAAGTGTGAACTTTATGATTATTTTATAATTCTTACCAAATTTATTTGTTTACTTACTTACTTATGACAGTATAGGGCTTGAACTCAGAACCTCACACTCTCACTTGGCTAAAAAGCATATGTCTGGCACACTACCACTTGAGCCACACCTCTTCTGGTTAATACTGGTTAATAGCCTTCTCTCTGGGTTGGCTTCAAACTTAGATCCTCAGATCTCAGCCACCTGAATAGCACCCAGCTAGTATATACTATTTTTTAAAGTAGGTTTATGGGGGTATTCCAAGCAAACATGTTATGATTCTAGTGCTTCTGCTGTTTGTTTGAGTAACAAAAAGAGATAAATCACAATTGGAATCTTTTATTCTCCCACCATTAGACAGATGAATTGTGATAAAGCATGCGCTGTACATTATTACACTTGTGAGCTAGTTTTCATTAGTAGTTCTCTTAACTACGAATGATTTATAAGTAATTACTATTCTAAAATAAAGATGTGACTTACCAAGTGGAGTATGAAGTTGAATAGTGACTTAACATGAAAAGATAGATGGAATCGACATAATGGTGTTAATGGTTCCCCATGATTATTTGGTGTTAATGGTTCCCCATGATTATTTTTACTTTCAGGCCCTTGGTTATCCGATGCTAAATAAAGAACTAATCTCACAATCCCTTAGTGTAAAGCAAATAAGTTACTTGTCAGCATCAGTTTGTCCACCTATAAATCATCTCTTCTAATTTCTACTTCCTAGGAGGTGTCAGACAAATACTTTTGTGTGAGCAGAGTTGGGCTAATGGTTAAGGGCAGGACACTGAGAAGGTATCTAGTATACAATACTATAATATTTGAGGTATTTGATTTGGAAAGAAGCAGAAGTCTGATTTGGAGTTAGTTTTCATAATTACATAGTTACGTCCTTAACATCTCTGAGTTTGAAATCAGACTTGGTGGTCTTAGCTTTGATCATAGGTAGACTCTCTTTCCTATTTCATTGTAACAGTTGCTTTCTTTTCTTCCAGGTGTCTGGCCATTTTGAACTGTAGCAGAAGCTTCTCAGTAGAAAAACTCCACCATGGTTAAGGCTAAACTTGTGTGTGTGTGTGTGTGTGTGTGTGTGTGTGTGTGTGTGTGTGTGTGTGTGTGTGTATTCTGTGTTTGCCAATTTGTAATGATTTAATTCTACATTTCTGTATTGATATATAAATTGCCAAAACTTTGAGACATATGTATGCATATATTTTGGAGAGGTTGGCCTGATTTTGAAGAGCCTTTTCATTCTATAACCATACACCACTATGTATTCTTACTTTTTATTATATGCTATTGAGAAACTTCATTGTGTTCATTTCATACAAATGAGGGTGGTAAATATCCACAACGGAATTGAAACAAAGCACAGAATAGGATTCTTGGAGCTGTCAAGGTCTCTTGGGAGATACTCTCAGTCTATGATGCTCAGAGTTGGACATGGTCTATGCTAAATATCCCAGCCACGCCCCAGACCTCAGTCCTCAACACACTCTCCTCAAGAATAAAAAGAAAGTGGAGAATTATCTACTTTTTCCAGCCATTCTCTTCCCCATACCATTACTCATGATGAAATTTTCTGATTTGCATGTTTATTTGACATAGCTACTTTTTCCACATCATGGAAATATTGAAATCGTTTCTGTGATTCAAGCAAAGGGAAGATGGCACTGAACACAACTGCCAGTGTCCTAATGTGACTAGCCTGCATTTCAAAGTAGTTTACTGAGTCTTTTTTTGTGGATTATTGATATGGAATCTCAACAATAAAATATTTATGCAAGAACAAATTTTGTGTCTGGTTTAGTACATTCTGTGATAGTGAGTTTTTGTATATGTGTCTGCTTTTCCTGGAGGTTGTGAGATCTTTGTAAGCAAGACCTTGTGTAATTCACCTTTACTTCCCCAGCACTGAGAGAAATGTAGCATGCAGCAAGTATTCAGTAAACACTTGGCAAAATGAAGTAGATATGTGCTAATCTTCCATCCTTCACATGATAGGAGAAGCTGCTTTTAGTTGATATATTCTCACACCATTTTAAAGTAATTACTGACAATCATAAAAGCATAGGTTATTCAAATTTATGTCAGAGTCATAAGGAGTGCCTTATCATTGCAGACTTCCATTCAAGGACTAACAACTGGTTTTCCCTGTCTAGTCACCACTCCTTTTCTGGTGTCAAGATTTTCACAAATGGAATGCTCATCAGTTCAGAGAGGCAATGGGATATTGCAGGCTTGCAGAATCTTAGGACAGGGCCATGCACCTGCATATTCGTCATGGTTGCTCATTGTGAATGGCATTATAGCAATGCTGCCATTGGAAGTTGAAGGCGTTTATGGTCAACATATGTGACTATGTGATACTCACTTCTTAGACACCGTGTTAGTAATGTCCTGATCTACCCCATCATTCTGACATTTCAAATCCTCTCTGCACACATTCCTAAACCCGTGAGGAGAACAGTATAGCTAAGAAAACAAAAGGATTGTAGTGTTCTTTGAATAGAAAAAAATCAGCACATCTTGCAGGCTGTCAGGGGGCTTGTGGAACCTTTCCGTTCAGGACCTTGGATGCCTTTTAGACTGACTCTGTTCCTCTCCAACGAGGACCCCATTCCCAGATCATAGCCTTTTGTTCTCTGCCCTAGACCCAGTGTTCTCAAGAAGTGTTAAGAGTGTGAGGTTCTAGCCTACCTTCAAGCTATTAACTAGTTTTCTGCATTCTATTGATCCTGGCAAAGAATGAGACTGCTGAGTCAGAGACGATTGATTTTTTGTGTCAGGTGCAGAAGGCATCATGGGTTTTTTATTTTGTGTGGGTTCTCCTTATTCCCTAGGTATGGAAGAGGCATGTGAGTGTGGGTTCAAGGCTCTGCTGGGGAAACAAATGTGTTTGTGCCAAAGTTGAGGAACTGCAAACACAGAGACCCCAGTCTTATAATAGGACTCTTAACAAACATGCCCTGGAAGGAAACATTATTTTTATTATACTGGTCAAAAAACAAATCTGCTCCTGGAAGGAGACAATACCTTCACTTTCAAGGATGTTTGGTCTATAATGATAAAGTCCAGGAGACAGCTGCCACTAACTTTTTCAGTAAAGACAAAAGCCTACAGGAAAGCAAAGTACCATAACTTCTCCAGGTTCCCTCCTTTAGGCAAGGAGAAAGAATAGAATAATTTCTTTTCTTTGTGCATGTTCTTTAATACTGTTGTTATGACCTGCGTTCCGTGTTCTGCTTCCTTCAGATTTGCCATTTTTGTTCTCAAAAATCAGTCTGAAAGACCAAAATGTTTCTTCTTGCTATTTTTAAGACTGCTTTAACAATTTGGTTTCATCTCAAGGTAATGTGGATACCTCTGACTTATCAAGGGACAAATCACTACCAGGAAGTGAAGAAAAAAGGAAAACAAGAAGATTAAAATTTTTAAGATATTCTGTTACACTTTTTTTTTTGTGTGTTGTGGGGCTTGAACTCTGGGTTTGGGCGTTGTCCCTGCGCTCTTCAGCTCAAAGTGAGCGCTCTACCACTTGAACCACAGTCCCACTTCCATTTTTCCCCATGGTTTATTGGAGATAAGAATTTCACAGACTTTCCTCCCAGGCTGGCTTTGAACCATGATCCTCAGATCTCAGCCTCTTGAGTTAGCTAGGATTACAGCCATGAACCATCAGTGCCCGCCTTCTGCTACACTTTTAACTACTCAAAAATATTTTCATGTCATGAAGCTATTCCTGATCAGATCAACTCCTCTTCTACCCTCATTCATTACTCTCATTTTCTTAACATGAATCTGTATCTCCAGACTTGTTATTCTCATATGCCAGACAGTCAACAATAAAACAAACTAAGCCATTTGGGTCTTAGAGATATTTTCTTCTTTCCAGGTAACCATCCTTCCTAATTTTGATTCTTTTCTTTTCTTTGTGAGAGTTAGGGCTGCAGAAATCTTGACTTCTTAGATATAGTTTCCCTAATTGCCTAGAAACCTCAGGAGACAATTCCTATGAGTGTTTTCTATAGAATGCCATAACACATACCAGGTAAGCTTCCGAAGCTCCTTTCTCTTGAGAAAAGAATGACTCCTAGCTGTGGGATATTTTTATTTCATCTGGCAGTGCTGCTTTTGAAGGTCATAGCTCCTCATTTGGCCATTCTTGGGTTAAGTCACCTGGAATATCATAAAGATGGCCAAATGATAACCTCTCTATAATTTGTCTCTAACTTCTGCTGAGTATTAACTCAATTCCCCAGATCCAGATTCCAAAGGCACTTACATTTCTATATAATATGATTTTAAAATGTGGTTTTAGCTAATTAATTTTAATTGTTATTATAAAGGTTATGTACAGAGGAGTCACAGTTATATAAATCAGATCAAGAATACATTTCTTTTTGGACAATGTCACCACTTTGTTCACTCTCTCCCAGTTTTTTCCCTCCCATCTCCACCCACAAGTTAAGTACTACTGCTGCATTTGTTCACCCCACAGATGTGTTTGAGTACAAATTTCCAAGCTGGCATAGAACAACTAAAGCTGTTCTCAATATGTTTATTGTTAGTGTTTCTAGAATAGGACAAGCAAAAACATGCAACCCAGAGAAGTGTGTAGGACTTGAAAATAGTTCCACTGAGGGAAAACTGCATCATCATAATTAATACTATCATGGCTTTAAAGTCAGAGAGTAGATTTCAAATCCTGGTTGTTAGGAGTGTGGTCGTAGATCAGTGGTAGAGTTGGTGCTTAAACCGAAAATAAAACAAAATAATTTTAGTTTTTATCCTACACAGGATTGTAGTGTTAGAAGTAAGGTCCACTTCTAAGGATTGTCTTGAGAGAAGTATGCAATACGCCCAAGATGGCCTAGGTGGGTAACAATGTCTGACTCCAACTGCTTGATTCTTTTTAAAAATGGAGGTGTGCTACACCTCCAGCCCATACGTCTTGACGCACACTTCCCACCTGCTTTATGAAGGTGGATGGGGAGCCGAGGGAGGCAGGCCTGGAGAGCGTCTGGGCCCGCCCCGCCCCCGAAGGCCCGGGCGCAAAAGGCGCCCGGAACCCGAGCGCGGCGACCGCAGAGCCGGTCGGGCGTGTTTCCAGGCGGACGTCAGGTCTGTCCCTCCGTCCGTCTTCTTAGCGTTCCGGGTACGCCAGTTCAAGTCGTGGCTGCTGCCCTTTGCTTCTCTGTCTCGGGGCCGCCTGAGCCGAGTCTGCAGCTATGTCGGGGTTCAGTCCAGAACTCATCGACTACCTGGAAGGGAAAATCTCCTTTGAAGAGTTCGAGAGGCGGAGGGAAGAGAGGAAGACCCGGGAGAAGAAAGTGAGACGCTAGGCCCGGCCGGGGCGCCCTTGGGCGTGCGGCCCCACGGGGGGGGGGGGGGTGGATGGGGGAGGCGGGAGGGGCGGGGGGGGAGGGGGGGGAGGCGGGGCGGGGGGGACGGGACGGGCAGGGGGGGCCGGGGCGGGGGGGGGACGGGCGGGAGGCGGGACGGGCGGGGACGGGACGGGCGGGGGGGGGGACGGGGCGGGGCGGGGGGGAGGCGGGGCGGGGGGGGACGGGGCGGGCGGGGGGGGGGACGGGACGGGGGGGGGAGGCGGGGGCGGGGGGGGGGGGACGGGACGGGCGGGGAGGCGGGGCGGGGGGGGGCGGGACGGCGGGGCCCGCAGCTTCCCCCCTCGCGCTCGGAAACCCGGCACTTCTCGCCCCCCCCCCCCCCCCCCCACCCCCCCCCCCGCCGTGGCTCCCCCGCAGACGTTTTCCCCGCCGAAGTCTCGGGTCTTGGCGCCCGCTCCTCCCCCAGGCTCTTAGGCCGGGCGGCTGCGGCTTTAACGGAGCGCAGGAGTCTCACTAGTTCAAATCCTAGCTTCGACATTAAGCGCTTTGTAACCGTGGGCCGGCTACTCGCCTCTCTTCATCAGGGCTCCGTTTCTCTTCTTTTCCTTTCTTCCTTTTTTTTTTTCTTTCTTTTGTGCCGGTCCTGGGGCTTGAACTGAGAGCCTGAGCGCTGTCTCTGATCTTTTTTGCTCATCATTCCCCAAGCAAATTTTGGATTTTCATTAACTGAGTACACCGATGTGAGAACCACGCTATGTAGAAACACGTCAGTTGAATTACATTTTACTCTACACTGATTTATTTATTTGCCAGTTCTGGGGCTTGAACTCAGGAGCTCAGTGCTGTCCCTGAACTTTTTGCTCACAGCTAGGAACTCAGGAGCTCAGTGCTGTCCCTGAACTTTTTGCTCACAGCTAGTGCTCTCCCACTTGAGCTACAGCATCACTTCCGGTTTTCTGGTGGTTAATAAGAGTCTCACGACTTTCCTGCCCCGGCTGGCTTTGAACCACTATCCTCAGATCTCAGCCTCCTGAGTAGCTAGGATTACAGGCGTGAGCCACCAAAGCCTGGTAGTTTCTCCAGTTTTTCCATTTCTAAACGGAAGGGTTGAGCTCCTCCCACTCCCATCCCAGAGCTACCACTGAGAGCTGCATAGCTGCAACCTGAACCCCCAGCTCCTGTAATAGCCGCGGAGCCTTCTATTGATGTGATGGAATCTTCACACAAAAAAATGTGAATGTAGGGGCTGGGAAGGTGGCTCAGTGGTAGAGCGCTGACTTGCATTCATGAGGCCCTGGGTTCGATTCCTTAGCACCACATAAGCAAAAAGAAAAAAGCCGGAAGTAGCGCTGTGGCTCAAGTGGTAGAGGGCTAGCCTTGAGCTGAAGAGTTGAGGGACAGCTCCCAGGCCCAGAGTTCAAGCCCCACGACCGGACCCTCCTCCTCCAAAAAATGTGAATGTACTTGTCTGATGAGAAGAGTATTTTTAATTATATCTTTTTTCATTATTACTATTATTACTATTATTTTGGCAGTGCTGGAGTTTGCATTCAGGGCTTCCAGACTCTCACCGTTTGAGTCATACCCTCACCCCTTTTGGCTTTGGTTATTATTATTTTGCCAGTCCTGGGGCTTGATCTCAGGGCTGACCTGGCCTGGCCTGAGCTGCTTTTGCTCAAGGCTAACACTTCACCAGTTGAGCTGCAGTGCCACTTCCGGCCTTTACTGTTTATGTGGTACTGAGGGATCGAACCCAAGGTTTCATGCATGGTTGGCAAGCACTACACCACTAAGCCACATTCCCAGCTGGCTTTGGTTATTTTTGAGATCCTAGCTATGCTTCCCTCAATAGCAGGGAACATAGGCCATGCCATTACACAGTAGCTTTTTCTGTTGAGATGGGGTCTTTTTCTGTTGTGAACTTTTGCCAGAGCTGACCTTGAGCTGCTGTCCTCTGGATCTAAACCTCTGGGAGTAGCTAGGATTAAGAGCATGCACTATCATGACTGTACTTTATGCCTTATTTTTCATGTTTATCAAGAAAAGGGAAAAAATGGACTATCCACACATCTTACTTTTCTGAAGTCCATGGGAAAATAAACATAATCGAACAACATAATCGAACTTCTTGAAGTTAACTGATGATTTCTTATTTTGACTATTAAGTGCCTGTCATGTCTTTTTTTTTGGGGGGGGGGGTCCAGTTGTGGGGCCTGAACTCTGGGCCTGGACGCTGTCCCTCAGCTCTTCAGCTCAAGGCTAGCGCTCTACCATTTGAGCCACAGCACCACTTCCAGCTTTTTTCTTTTTGCTTATGTGGTACTGAGGAATCGAACCCAGGGCCTCATGCATGCAAGACAAGTGCTCTACCACTGAGCCACCTTCCCAGCCCCCCTGTCATGTCTTTTAAAAGTGTTAGATTTAGAAAAGTCATCATGATCCTTTTTTGTTTTTAAACACATGACTTATTTAGACCAAAAGATAAGATCTAAGTACTAGAAAATGTATGGCAGTTGCAGAAATATTGCCAGATATTCATTGTGAAATTTAGATTTGACATATTATGTATGTGTGGAGACTTGTTTTATTAGTAGAAATTAGGCACAGGTTCTATTCTCAACTGGAAAGAGTCAATCACTAGTTTTTGGGATCAGTTAACTAATTTTCAATTCAAATCTTCAGGAAAAAGGAAAATTATCAGCTGAAGAGAATCCAGATGATTCTGAAGTTCCATCATCGTCAGGGATCAGCTCTACCAAATCCCAGGACAAAGATGGCAATGAAGGTATGTTAAGATCATTTGCTACGCAAGTTAAATGTTGAGTATCTGAGTAATTTAGTGAAAACATTTTCTTTTTCATTGCCCTGATACTGTGTTATGGTTTATCAGAAGAATAGTGTTTGATATATAGTAGCTGCTCAAATATTTTCAGCCATTATATATAATAATGGTTATTTTGGCAAATTTCATTGGTAGAACAGTATTTCAAATAGATATACTCATCTGGGGAACTTTTTAAACGGGGGTAATTTGGTGTTATGATGTTTTAAATTAGCCCTCTCAGTTACAGAATACTTCCAGACTATCCTTTCCCAAATTATATTTCTATACAAACTAACTTCCTTCTACCCAGAACTTTTTTTTTTTGAACTGGGGGTAATTTGGTGTTATGATGTTTTAAATTAGCCCTCTCAATTACAGAATACTTCCACACTAACCTCTCCCCAATTATACTTCTTTACAAACTAACTTCCTTCTACCCTTGTCATACCAGAAGGCTGATCAGATACACGTACATACTGTGTAGACATACGACATGCTGCCTTGGTTTAGGATTCAGTCCTTCCTTCATTTTTCATGTCCAGATACTAGGTTTGGTTAGTGCATTCAGACTAAAGCCTACTTTATCAACCTATATGCAAATTTATTCATTTCCAGTGATTGATAAACTTTTCTAATGATGAGAATGCTGATAGTAGCTCATGGTATCCATTTGCCCTTGCCAAGTTTTACCTAAGATGCTGAACTGTCAGCTAGGATGTAGATTTGTGTGTAGGGCCTGATCAGAGAGCTGAACTAGGCTAGTTTTGGTTGGTAGTAGTAAGCCTTTATTACAAGACTACAGAAGCCTTTGGAAGAAAACAAGCTTTATGCCTACCTGCCTAAACCATGTAGGAAAGAAGGAAAAAAGAGGAAAGAGAATTGAGGCTACAGTTTCTTAGTTTTCCAGACTAGTGTGGTAGGAAAAGGGGCCGAAGTTGTTCTAACAGCCAGTACATCCTTCCTTATCTGTGTAGTTGAGTCCACTTCTCACCATGAGCAGTTAAGTACTTAAGAACCGGCTACCTCTGCCAGAATAATCCTATCATATTTAAAGAGATACAAGGCTGCATATATCCTAGGAAAGAATTGTCACATTTTTTTTCCTTAAAAAAATTGTCACATTGTTGCCAGGACTCTTGGTGAGTGTGAGTATGTATATGGAACAGACAAAGGGGTCAGTTTTGAGGGAGCTTTGACAAAACTTAATAGGAATATATGGTCTCCAGGACGTTTCCTTTTTTCTCCTGGACATTGCTTTAATACCACTTCCAAATTCTTGTTCTTGAGCTCCTTTTGTACACATTATGCAGATAGGGTTTTGTGTGTGTGTGTGTGTGAGAGAGAGAGAGAGAGGGAGGGCGAGAGAGAGAATGAGTGTAAGTCTTGGAACTTGAACTCGGGGCTTGGGTACTGTATTTGAGCTTTTGTACTTCTGTTACCTCAATAGTTTTGCCTATATGTCTGAATGAGGCCTAAAGGATGATCCAGCCATTCTTGTAGAGTCATAAAAAATGGGGCTTTTGACAGTTTCTCTTTGTATTTTTGGGGGAGAGTTCATTTACTGAATTTCACTTTAAAGCTGGATGATGTTGTTTGATATTTGGGAAACTAGAGTGCTGTTTTCTTTTGACTACTGAGTATTCTGAAGATTTTTTTCAACCTCAACATGTCTTCCTTAGGAGAAACATCAGATGGCGTGAGTAAGTCTGTTCATAAGGTCTTTGCTTCCATGCTTGGAGAGACTGAAGATGATGAGGAGGAAGAGGAAGAAGAGGAGGAAGAGGAGGAAACACCAGAGCAGCCCACTGCTGGGGATGTCTTTGTACTGGAGATGGTTCTCAATCGTGAGACCAAGAAAATGATGAAAGTAAATTGTTCCTTTTTTGGTGTTTATGAACAGTGTAAGGTGACATCGTCATTGAAAAGGAAGCTTTAAGTTGTACTGGGAAAATAGTACAAAGAAAGAAAGGGAACACACTCCTTGATGTTTTTTTCAGTTTTTACAAGAACCATAGTTATTCATGTGTCAGTATGTATTGTAGTTTTTCTATTGAAAGGTTAGCCAGGTGCTGTAATCATGCCTGTAATCCTACCTACTCAGGATACTAAGATCTAAGGATCACTGGTTTAAACTCAGCCAGGGCATGAAAGTCCATGAGACGCTTTCTTACCTCCAGTTAACCTCCAGCAGACTGGGAATGGAGCTGTGGCTCAAAGTGGTAGATAGCTCACCTTGAGCAAAAAAGTTCAGGGACAGCGCCCAGGTTCTGAGTTCAAGTACCATGACCAACCAAAAAAAGAAAAGTCCATAGTAAAGTATTTTTTTAACCAAGTTCATTCTGAGTTCGTAAATTTGAAAGAAGTTTCTTTAGTAGAGCATCTCATACAAGATTCCTAGCATGTAAGTCAATTCATTCTCTTAATCAGTCATTTAGCAATTGCTTACCATTGGAATTTTGCTTTGCTTATATATTTTACTGTGTTTTGAACTTTCTCCAAAGGAGTGAGTTTTGTTTTTACCTTCTTAGATGCTCCTTTCTCTGTAGAATATCATATGATCACCTGTTCTTTTCTGCATTGGACTTTTACTTTTTATTCGCCTTACAATTATACTTTAATGTTAAAGAATCACAATTGTCACTTTAGTACTTAGTTCTGGGTTTAGAAGATTTAAGGTTGAGAGGGAAATTTCAGTTACATTATTTCCGATATGAATATAGTTGGAATTGAAGTTTAAGCTTGTACTACTGTATTTTAGCATAGCTCCATATCTTTTTTATACACAGGAGAAAAGACCTCGGAGTAAACTTCCCAGAGCTCTGAGAGGTCTCATGGGAGAAGCCAATATTCGCTTTGCTCGAGGAGAACGTGAAGAGGCAATATTGATGTGCATGGAAATCATAAGACAAGGTGTTTTCTGTGGGGATTCTATTGATAATAGCATTTATTACTCAGTAACTCTATTGAGGGAGCTCTTCATTGCATTATTTGCAAAATATATTCAGAAGTTGGAGGTAATTGCTTCTGGTAACAGTTACCTTCTTTTCACATTCAATAGGAGTTATTACCAAACAAGTGAGAACCACAGGCTATGACTCAGGGAAATACCATCAATATTTATTACACTTTTACCTGCTCTTAGTTTCTGTTTCTTTTCATTTTAGGGATTTTAGATTTTTGTACTGTTAATTTAATTAATCAGTTTATTTTTTGGCAGTGGTGCTGGGGCTTAAACTCAGGGCTTCATGCTCTCACTTGGTTTTTTCACTCAAGGCTGGCTCTTTACAATTTGAGCCACAGTTCTACTTCAGGCTTTTTGCTGATTAATTAGTGATAGAGTCGCATGGACTCTTCTGTCAGTGCTGATTTTGAATCAGCATCCCGACATTCTAACTTCCTGATTAGCTATGTTTACAGGAGTGAGCCACCAGTACCTGGCTTGTTAAATGTTTTTTATTTCTTATTTATGTGTGTGTGTGTATATATATATATATATATATATTTTTTTTTTTTGGGTCCGGTCGTGGGGCCTGAACTCTGGGCCTGGGCACTGTCCCTCAGCTCTTCAGCTCAAGGCTAGTGCTCTACCACTTGAGCCACAGCACCACTTCCAGCTTTTTTCTTTTTGCTTATGTGGTGCTGAGGAATCAAACCCAGGGCCTAAATTCATGTAAGGCAAGCGCTCTACCACTGAGCCACCTTCCCAGCCCTAAATATATTTTTTATTTATTGTGGTGCAGGGATTTGAGTCTGGGTTACACCCTCAGCCTTGGTATGTTTGTTAAAATGGAGAGCATGAAGTGGTAGAGTGCTCTCCTTGAGCTGAAGAGCTCAGAGACAGCACCCAGGCCCAGAGTTCAAGCCCCATGACCAACAAAAATAAAAAATAAAAAGTAAAACCATATCTGTTTAAAAAAAAATGGAGACCATGTTATGTTAAAATCACTTGAGGAGTGCTCTTTTATTCCTTTCATTTTCCAGATTTGGCAGTGTTAAAATACTGTTAAATTTGTCATTTTATCTCTTGATTAAAGGACCCGTCTTTGACATATTGATGAACATCTCTGAAAATTGTTTTTTGATTAAATCACATTGTTTCCTGATCATTGTCGGTTTGACACTCTGTAGCGTGGCTAGGGTAATTATAATACAGAAAACTTTAAATTTACCTTTCTATATTTTGGTATTTAATTAGACTAGAGTACTTTTAGAAGTCTTATTTTAATTCTTGGATTATTCATTAGGGTAATTTGTGACCACTGTTTTTTCTCCTTTCTTCCTCCTTTTTTAAAAAAATTATTTTTCTCATGGTTTTGCTATATGGCCCAGGGTAGCCGCTGGTCCCTGAGTGCTGGGATTTCAGGTGTGAACCACCACTCCTTGTTCTGCTTTTTTTTTTTTTTAAGTTATTCTATCAGAATAGGATTAACTGAACTTTTTTCTTCAGGGTATTTTGCTTCCTGTTTCTCATTTCAGTTTATAATCTTTTTAGAACTGATCTTTGACTTTGATTTTTAGTAATCTCTGAATTTTGTTGTCAGTATTTCAGAAATGCAAATTAAGTACTCAGTTTGCTATCCTGAGTTTAGGTGTTGCTAAGGCATCCTTTAACCCATACTTTCAGTTGTGTGAGTTGGATCATCAGAACTCAATCCCACTGATGTGGCTGATGTGTATTGGGGTAAACTTGCCAAGTTAGTAAACCAGGTTAACCTTAGTGAAGAGATTTTTTTAAAAGGAAGATTAGAATTTAGAGGTTTCATGAAATTATATGTTGTTAAAAGAAGCATAATGCTTTAAAAAATGCTACAGGGGCTGGGAAGGTGGCTCAGTGGTAGAGTGCTTGCCTTGCATGCATGAGGCCCTGGGTTGGATTCCTCAGCACCACATAAGCAAAAAAAGAAAAAAGCTGGAAGTGGCACTGTGGCTCAAGTTGTAGAGTACTAGCCTTGAGCTGAAGAGCTAAGGGACAGCGCCCAGGCCCAGAGTTCAGGCCCCACGACTGGACACCCCCCCCCCCCCCCAAAAAAGCTACAAAATAATGCTAAAAATAACAACTATGTTATCCCAGTTCTTAGGCTGAGCCAGGAGGACTAGAAGTTTGAGCTACATAGCATGTTTGAAGCCAGCCCAAGCATTATAGCAAGACCTTGTCTAAATAACAACCTAAAAGTATAAGAAACTTAAGTAGAACACATATAATCTAATATTTATTATAAGTTCCATGAAAATAGTTTGTATAATTCTGATAGAGTGAGTTAAAGAGTTTAAATATTAGAAAACTGATCCACAGTTTGAATCATGGGATTGACATCACTTTAAATCTCTTAGTGGTGGAATTCATTTTTATTTTCTTTCATTTATTTTAGCTCCTCTGGCTTATGAGCCATTCTCTACTCTTGCCATGATATATGAGGATCAAGGTGACATGGAGAAATCATTGCAGTTTGAGTTGATTGCTGCCCACTTAAATCCCAGTGACACAGAAGAGTGGGTTAGACTGGCAGAAATGTCTCTGGAACAAGACAATATTAAGCAGGCTATTTTTTGCTATACAAAAGGTAATTGAAATATTTTTCTCACTTTGAGTATATGTTTCATAGTATATGGGTTATTGCACTTGCTCTTCTGGGTTGTAATGCTAGCTGAAATGTATTTTGGGGTAATAAACTTGGTACTTGGGGTATCTGAGGTCCCTGTTTATCAGCAACTTTATAATGTGAGTTAATGCAGCACAAAGATAGTAGATGAACAATGCTTTAAATTTCCACGCAAGGTAAAGCTGTTACCTGAGAGTTAACATCAGACTGGAGTGACCAAATCAAGATGATTGCTTTGGAGACTCAGGGTCTGTTTGGTCTTAAAACTAGTCAAGAGTTATTGTGAAGATAAATTTATTCCAGAATAATTTCCTTCTTTGCCTCGGAGAATTAAAGTTGTATCTGAGATGATGATGAGTCACCTCTAGTTACCATGCACCTTTGTTTTGATAATGTAATTTTTATTCTTTCTTTCTAGCTCTTAAATATGAACCTACTAATGTCCGTTTTCTGTGGGAACGATCAAGCCTTTATGAGCAGATGGGTGATCATAAGATGGCAATGGATGGTTACAGGCGAATTTTAAATCTCTTGTCTCCATCTGATGGAGAACGTTTTATGCAATTGGCTAGAGACATGGCAAAGTAAGTTTGGGGTTATACATATATATATATTTTTTTCAGTCATTGTATTTTGTAAATCAAAGCATGTATTTGAAATAGAGTATATGTTTTATTGAGGTTGGAAGTGTTTTGCCTTCTATATTTTATATTTTGCCTAGGTGATGAGGTGTTTTTCTCCTTAGTACTTTTCTGTTTTTAAGTCAACTGTGATTCCTTAGAAATTTTTACATAAAACGTTACATTTCTATTGCTCAGAAGCTAAAAATTGGAACATGTTCTTTTAAGTTGGCCCTGTGGATTATTATGAGGACTTTGTCTTTTACTTTGAGTATGTTTGGAAGCAACTGGAGTGTTTTGAATAGAAAAATGACCTAATCTGACTTAAATGTTATCAGTTCTGCCTATTGTTTTGGTTCTAGATTAAAGAGTGTTAGGAGACCAGTGGGAAATAGTATGTCATAGTGAAAATAGTAAATTGGGCTAGAATACCAACAGCAGGAGGCAGTGAGAAGTAGTCAGATTGTGGATGGGTAAAGGCATAGAGTTTTAAGGTGTGAACCCTGAGGTAGTACTGCGGTGCTTAGAAGTCAGGGAGAAGAGGAAGAAACAGTAGGGAAATTAAAAGAAAGTGGCCAGTGAAAGAAGAAGAGACTCAGAGAACATGCTGTTACAGAATTTTGTGGAAGAAGGTACTCCAGGAAGTGAGATAATCATCCATGTGCAGTGTAGCAAAGAGGTCACTACATAAACATTGAGAACTGATGATGAGAGTTGTTTTGGCAAGAGGCAAAGATGATTGGATTAGGTTAAAAAGAATGGAGGCGAGGCACTGGAAACTGTGAGGGATGGGCAACTCATTGGAGGAATTTCCAGTGGAATAGAGGAATGAGGTGTAGAGGTAAGATTTTTAAGCTGGGAAAAGTTCTATTTATGTTTAGAAGGTAATAATAGAAATTGGGAGACATACTGAAGTTTTATGAGAGAAGGGACAATTTCTTAAGCAATATCCTTGAGAAGATTAGAAGGAATGGGATCCAGAGGCAGTTGGACTTATATATACTGATGGAGAAGACCAGTACACATGTATACTGACGGCCATGCTGGTCAGCATGTAGACATGTTGGGAGTGTGTGGGACATTTGATCAGATTCTCTTGATAATATACAAACGACATGAGAATAAAGAGGTCTGAAGAGAGAAGTTGTGAGATTACTGTCTAGAACCTTACTAGCTCACAAACTGGCAGCATTTACACTACTCAGGAGTTGTCGGAAATGCAAGATCTGAGTCCAACTCTATTGGATCTGAATGTGTCCTTTTACAGATACATAGTTGATTTTACATGCAGGTTCAAATCTGAGAAGTAGTCGGATAGATACAGTGAGCCCCCTTGAGGCTAGTGGTTATTAATTAGAGCAAAATCCATTGGCAAGCACTTAACCACTGGCCATACCCTCAGCACTGATTCCTTACAGTACATGTAGCATGTGCTTTCACTTCATATAAAGCCTTCTTAGCAAATGAGTTGACCACTGTCCTCGTGGCCCCCTTTTACCACCTTTACTAAATGTTTTCTTTTTCAGCCATCATAGTGCTGCCCAGAAAGCCAAAGTACTTATCGTGATTTTTAAAAAAAATTTTTTTCTCTCAGTTTTCAGAAAATGAAAATAGTTAATTGTTAGATGGCTTAAGGAATTAAGTATTCATCCACTCACTCTTTTAGGAGTTACTATGAAGCCAATGACAGTACTTCAGCTATTAACATCATTGAAGAAGCTTTCTCAAAGCACCAGGGCCTAGTCTCCATGGAAGATGTTAACATAGCAGCTGAACTATATATTTCTAATAAGCAGTTTGACAAAGCTTTGGAGGTAGGAATGTTTATGTGTTTTTCTCTTAGATTTTTGAACATACTTTGTGTTCCAGAAATGCTTAAAAATTGGCAATTTCTCTCTTTTTTTTTGTTGGTCATGGGGCTTGAATTCTGGGCCTGGGTGCTGTCCCTCAGCTCTTCAGCTCAAGGCTAGTGCTCTACCACTTGAGCCAAAGCACCACTTCCGATTTTCTGAGTGGTTTATTGGAGATCAGAGTCTCATGGAGTTTTCTGCCCGGGCTGGCTTTGGATGGTGATCCTCAGATCTCAGCCTCCTGAGTAGTTAGGATTACAGGCATGAGCCACCAGCACCCAGCAAATTTCTTGTTTTAATTATGCTTTAAATTATATTCTTAAGGATTACACATTCATAATAGATTTCTCGATTCTGTTGTAATTGTGTATGAAACATGAAATGGAGTTATCAAATGATAGAGAATATTGCCATTACCATGGGTGCCAGTGTGTCTACGCTTCATGGTAGCAAGACCCAACAGAGGAGTGATGCCCTTGACTAAATTCTCATGGTTCCTTGGGGGGAAATTAGGTTATTTTTTATCTTTAATATTAATGTGATATAAAATGTTTATCAGTGAGGATTTCTTATTTTAAAAAGACCTACTGTTTTTGTTTTTTTTTTATTGGTTGTGGGGCTTGAATTCTGGGCTTGGGTGCTGTCCCTGCGCTCTTCAGTTCAAGGCGAGAGCGTTCTACCACTTGAGCCACAGCACCACTTCTGGTTTTCTAGTGGTTTATTGGGAGGTAAGAGTCTCATGGACTTTCCTGTCCGGGCTGGCTTTGAGCCACAATCCTCAGATCTCAGCCTCCTGAGTAGCTAGGATTACAGGCGTGAGCCAACAGTGCCCGGCTCTACTGTTCTTTTTATACTCCATTTTTTTTTTTTTTTTTGTCGGTTGTGGAGCTTGAACTCTGGGCCTGGACACTGTCCCTGCGCTCTTCAGCTCAAGGCTAGCGCTCTACTGCTTGAGCCACAGCACCACTTCCGGTTTTCTAGTAGTAGTTTTTTTTGTAATTTATTTATTTTTTATTGTGAGAATACCGTACAGAGGAGTTACAATTACATGGGCAAGATAACGAGTACATTTCTTATCAAGTATTGTTGCCATCTCTTTGTTTCCCCTTTATTTCCCCTTCCCATCCCTTCCCATACTCCCGCCTCCCCCCACCCGGTCCTCCCCTCACCCCCCAACAAAGTTGTAAAGTTCGTTTTTTGACATAACAACTTGTACATCTCATTGTTGCAATGGGTCCACCTGTATCCCTAGTTAAACGATTTGTTTTTTTCCCTTCCCCTCCACAAATTATACCAATATCAAATACAGTGAAAGCAGGGGTTATACCATGGGGGAGGGACATACAAAGCAACAAAGACGTCATCTTATAAATATGTTAGGAACAATTGCATGAAAGGATAGTAGAGACTTTTATTGGAGATAAGAGTCTCATGGACTTAACTGCCCAGACTGGCTTTGATCCACGATCCTCAGATCTTAGCTTCCTGAGTAGCTAGGATTACAGGCGTGAGCCACTGGCACCCGGCTATACTCCATTTTTATAAGTATTACTTGATTATAGGTATTACTTGAATTAATTGTACAAATATTTGCTTTATGAAAAAATTCCTAAATCTTTCTTTCCTATTTTTTTAGGTTATTACAGATTTTTCTGGAATAGCACTAGAAAAAAAAATGTCAGAAGAAAGCACCTCAGAAGAGAATGAAGGTTGTAGTTTCTTTTGGTATTTTTCTTGTATTGGTTTACTAAGTTTTAAAAAATGTTTTGTGGGGCTGGGAAGGTGGCTCAGTGGTAGAGCGCTTGCCTTGCATGCATGAGGCCCTGGGTTCAATTCCTCAGCACCACATATGCAAAAAGAAAAAAGCCGGAAATGGCGCTGTAGCTCAAGTGGTAGAGCGCTAGCCTTGAGCTGAAGAGCTAAAGGACAGCGCCCAGGCCCAGAGTTCAGGCCCCACGACTGGACCCAAAAAAAAAAAAAAAAAAAAAAAAAAAAATGTTTTGTGTTTCTTTTATTTCTTAGTATATCTGTTTGAACTTGCTGTTTCTCCTGACCAATAAGTCTTTTTCATTAATTTGTATAGGAAAAATAATAAGTTATTATCAGCTTATCAAAACTTTCAGATTGCTAGGTGCCAGTGTCTCACTTCTAGCTAACTTAGGAGACTGAGATCAGAGAATTGTGGTTCAAAGCCAGCCAGAATACAAATGCCTTTGAGAGTGTTATCTCTAGATAACTGGAGGTGTAGCTCAAGTGGTCGAGCATCAGCCATGAATAAGCAAGCAGAGTGATGGACTCTGAATTTAAGTCCCTGTTCTGGCACCAATAACAATTATAACAACAATAAAAAATTATTTTATACCTATATCAATTGTCTTTTCAAAAAAGACTTAAAGGGACTTAAAATGCTGTACTATTGTGTGTATGTTTGATACTTGATTGGAGACAAGGCTTTGGCTTGCTAAGCAAGTTCTCTTTAACACTTGAGCCATTTGCTCATCCTTGTTTGCTTTTAGTCTTTCAGATAGAGTCTCATGGTTTTGTGTGAGTTAGCTTTGGAACTCAATCCTTCTAATTCTGCCTCCCTAGTAGCTAGGGTTAAAGGCACATACCATCATGCCTTCCCCAAGATGGTCTACTATTAAAAATTCTACTTAATACTGCACTTTGATAATCCCAGTATTCAGGAAGTAGAGGCAGAAGGATCATGAGTTGCAGCACAACTTGGGCTAGATAGCAAAATCCTGTCTCAAAAAAATAAAGGGCTAGAGGTGTAGCTCGTGCTGGATTCTTTGCCTGGCATGTCTGAGACCTGAGATCATTCTCCAGTAAAGTATGTGTGTGTATGTGTGTGTGGTATGTGTGCATGCGCTAGTATTAGAACTCAAATCCAGGGCCTGGATGCTGTCTCTTAGCTTTTGCGCTCAAGGCTGGAGTTGCAGCAGTACTTCTTTCTTTTTGGTGGTTAATTGAAGATAAGAGTCTCACAGACTTTACTGCCTGGGCTGGCTTTGTATTGTGATCCTCAGATCTCAGCCTCCTGAGTAGCTAGAATTACAGGTGTGAGCCACTGGCATCTGGCTAAAATAACTAAAGAAGAAGATGTGTAGAAGATTGGAGATTGAAATATTTACAAAGGTTGTTTCCCATACGCATTTTTGAAAGTGAGAATGTCCGTTGGTGATTAAGTATTGCTGTCGAGGGTCAAGTTTCTTAATTCTTCTAAATGTGAAACACCTAGTGGGAGTTCAGGAGAATAAACTCAGTGACACCAAGACAAGTTTATTAAGATAGCAACTTATGTATCCTAGGCTAACCTTGAACTCTTGATTCTCTTCCTTCAGTCTCTGAGTCCTAGAATTAGAGGTGCCTGACAGGTTTTCTAAAGGTGAGATTAAATGTTAGTTCATGATATATAAGCTGTGTGATTATACATATACCTTAACGTTGGCAAAGTAATAACATCTAAATACTAGCTCTGAAGCTATGTACTTAGCTGCCTAGTGATGAGTTTGGATTGGCATGGTTCTTAGACTCCAACTTGAGTAGCAGTGCCCTGTAGTTTATGAAATGCTCTTTCTGTGTAATTAGGGTAGAGCTGAACTTTCCCTTTTCTGAAAATTGACCTTTATGATTTGATCTAAAAAGCAAGGCTTTTCATTTATACGTCTTTAGTGCATTTGGCTATTTGAAATACTTTAGATCTAGTGTTACTAAAAATGGCAGAAATATATTCAGTTCTGGGGACTAGGAAGTCCAAGATGAAGGCAACAGAGATTTTGGTATCTACCAGGGCCCCTTTCTTCTTGCTTGGCTCTGTCTTGCTATGACTTTACCTGGCAGAAAGGGCCATACTGCTTTAGGTCCTCAGGCCCCAGTCACCTCCCAAAGATCCCATCTCCTAATACCATCACATTATACCATTTGGGTAGGGTTCAATGTAAGAATTTCAAGGGGACACACATGCTAGCATTTAGAAATAGAACCCATATATAATGTAAGCAGATGCTCATTTAAATGACTACATTGTAGTCCTTGTTCAGAAAGGCAGCTATAACTACTATAACTACTATCTACAGAAGTATACTAGATAGCGCTTGAGTTAAACAGACCTGGTCCTTGTCCTAGTGGATTTCATGGCCTAGGGTAAGTAAATTTCCATGTTAGGTAATTCTACTTTCACACTTAGCAGAATATGTATGTAAGCTGAATTTTGGTTACCAGTTATTTTGGTGTTCACTAATAAATCAGTCTTAATTGGCTATGTCCTCCTCTGACTTGGTAACTTTGTGAAGTACTACAATTGGTGACAAGCTCTGTAAAACAGATAAAACTAATTTTTAAGGCATTTTAATATTTCATTCTGCTTTTGATACGTCACCAGTAGTCCTGTGCTTTAGGATTAGCTGAAATGCAAACATAGGAACATAATTGGAATTGACTGTACAAAATATACTTTAAATGTGTATCAAAGTCTTTCAATCTACTAGGGTTTTAAAACTTGTCTTGCTGCAATGAAGTTTTAGAAAACAACAGTGTTCTTTACCTCTTTTCCTAGTCTTTGTAAAAACTAAAAAGAGCCTTTTGAATTCAAGAAGAAAAATATTTCATACATAGTAGACATTTTTGTCTTTTAGTTTTCTGTAGTTTTGATTGGAGGCATGGGAGTTTATGTTTTTGGGCAAGTACATAAGACCTTAGGAAAGGAGCAGGAGGTCTAAGTGCAAATGAAGTACAGACTTCAGGCCAAAGGATCTAGTAGTAGAATTGAATGGCAGTTATAATTAGAACTGAGTGTTTCGAGTGATGTGTTTGTAGAAGGAAGATAGCTTGCCATATTGGCCCCACAGTTGAAACATGCTCATAGGGTCTTCCTGTCCACTTGATGATTCTGCAGCTGTAGAGTGTGTTACCTGCACAATACCTGATGGTGTTCCAATAGATATCACGGTCAAGTTGATGGTCTGCCTTGTACATCTCAACATCCTTGAACCACTTAATGTAAGTAACATTAAGTTCTACATGTAATGGAAGTAATATTAAGATAATTCAGATCAAATCCACAGTCTTTTCTCCAGATGACAAAAAAATGTAAATTGACAGTAAATTTTCACATTCCTAAATAACTGAGGGTTATAATAAGCATCAAATTTCTTTTGTGTGAATACCTAATAAAAGCTAACAGTGTTTTAGAATTAGGCTTATAATTTATATTTTTTTAAATGAAAACTATCAGGAACTAAGATTGTTCCTGTAGACAACTAATAATAATTGTTACACCTGTTCTCTTTTGCCGCCTTTAAAGCAAATATTTCACTGAACATAAAACATGTATTGAGGGGGCTGGGAAGTTGTCTCAGTGGTAGAGCGCTTGCCTTGCATGCCTGAGGCCCTGGGTTCGATTCCTCAGCACCACATAAACAAAAAGAAAAAACCCGGAAGTGAGCTGAAGAGCTGAGGGACAGCGCCCAGGCCCAGAGTTCAGGTACCACGACCAGACCCCCCCCCCCCAAAAAAAATGTATTGGGCCCCATACGCATGCCTATAATCACAGCACGTGGAAGTTGGAGTTAAGAGGATCATAAGTTAGAGGCTAGCCTGGGCTACGTAGTGAGTTTCAGGTCAATGTTGACTATTTAGCATGATTCCACCTCTGGGAAAAAAAGAAAGAAAAAATAGTACTAGGCATTTACATTGTTGACCTTAGGATTAGGTACAGGGTAATATACACAAACCTCTACTTCATATATCTTTGTTTTAATGACATCAAATAGTAAAAATTTCTACAGCATAGGATATTGTTAAATGATGAGTATTTTGGAGAAAAACAAGAAAGACAGACTATCAGGGGTGGGAGAAAGCTGGTTTTTAATAGGGAAGTTAGGAAAGAGATACCCTAAAAAAGTGACATTTGATTAAGAACTGAAAGAAATAAGGCAGTAAGTAAACCATGACACTGTGTGAGGGAAGAGCTTTACTAAATACCAGCTCCCCCACTCTCCCTGAAGTGGAGACATGATTGGCTTGATGGAGAAGGACACTGCAGTGCAGTGGTCGTGGTTCTACAGTACCTGCTTTTTCTTTTTTTCTTTTTTGGGTCCGGTTGTGGGGCCTGAACTCTGGGCCTGGGCGCTGTCCCTCAGCTCTTCAGCTCAAGGCTAGCGCTCTACCACTTGAGCCACAGCGCCACTTCCAGCTTTTTTTTCTTTTTGCTTATGTGGTGCTGAGGAATCGAACCCAGGGCCTCATGCATGCAAGGCAAGCGCTGTACCACTGAGCCACCTTCCCAGCCCAGTACCTGCTTTTTCAACAGATGATGAGTGAATGATGGAAGTGTGAGTTCTTTTAAATTGAGATCTGGAAATAAATAGAAAATTATCTCTTAAGCTATTTTTATTAGGCCTTGCTCCTTTTCAGCTTACCTGATGTGATTGATACATAATTTCAAGTGAGAGCTGTTAGACTAAGAGTATAGCTTGTTAAATAGCAGAACAAAGCTCTGGATTCAGTTCCCACTATTGAGGAAAGTTAAAAAGAATTAGATATACACATTTGTAATGAATGTTTGACTTTAGTCTTTTATTTGGGGTCTAGCCACTTTTGACAACACTGGTGGAACAGAATCCTGAAGATATGGGGGATCTTTACCTTGATGTTGCTGAAGCATTTCTGGATGTTGGTGAATATAATTCTGCACTCCCCCTCCTCAGTGCACTAGTTTGCTCTGAAAGATACAACCTAGCAGTAGTCTGGCTTCGGCATGCAGGTAATACTTTTTCTAGGGGGGAGGGTAGGGTGTTTGAGGGAAAAGTTTTAATCACATAAAAAAAGAACTTTCCAAGATGACAATATAAAACATTAGATTCGTTCTGATTTCAGGCAGTTTTTTTTTAAGGACACTGTTTTAAATTGTCTTGATAGAGTATGGAGTGATTACATTCATGCTGTTGGTAATGATAATGTGCTTAATGGTAACAGTGAGTCGAAGGACATTTCCTATAAATGCCTGTCTTTTTTTTTTTTTTTTTTGGTATTGATTTGAGTGCTTGAACTCTGAGCCTGGACATTATGCTGAGCTTTTTCATTGAAGGCTAGCTAGCACTCTATTGCTTGAACCATAGCTCCACTTCTGGCTTTTTGCTGGTTACTTAGAGATCAGAGTCTTAGACTTTTCTGGCCTGGCTTTGATCTTCAATTCTCAACCTCCTGAATAGCTAGGATTACAGGTATGAAGCACTACCACCCAGCAATGCCTGTTTCAGACCTGGATTTACTATACATGTTGGTTTCTAGTAATATATTATCAGAGTTGGGACTAAATTTGATTTTTCAAATAGACTTACAGATTTTAGTATGTTATTTTGAGAAAAAATACTTAATGTAATTTTCATTGCCCTTTGAGCCACACATGCTCAAGATTAGATTATTATTAGTCATTTTATTTTACTGTGCCTAAGTTCACAGTAAACTGAAAAGCATTCATTTTGAGTACTAAATCTCCTAGAGAAATAAATACATGAAAACAAAAAAGAAAAACAATAGGTTTGGTTTAAGATATCACATGATGTTTGAAAGTTCTAATAACCCTTGAATACCACATGAGAGAAAATTCTTTATAACTAGACAACTGATTGATACTTCAGGGCCATAGCTCACAGAGGAAGAAGGAAAGAGAGCACTTGATTGAAATAATACTTTTCTGTTTAGATGAGTGTACATGAGTTGAAATACAATACTGTCATAAAAAGCTATCTTTGTAGAATTAGAATTTTGAAGGCAGGAACAGAGTGTGAGTTACTGCCTGTGTAAGGTTGATACTGAAACTGCTTCCAACTTACTAATACCAGATGCTTTATGATCTTGTTTAGTTATGTTCACTATTCTGTCATTTACATTTGAACCCAGATGACTAGATGAGGTGAAGTCAAACCTCAGACTCATCTAAAAATCAAGAAAGATCATAAGAGGAATTTGGTGTTTATAGCACAACATAAAATGAAATACCTGTGAAACTAAAACATGGAAAAAAAATCTCATTGTCAGATCCATTTATATTAGTATGCTAATTTATTTTCAAGATTTTTACATAAAGATGGTCAGAAGAGGTATAAAAACAATTGGAGGAAATACTGTTTTAGGAGATCATTGAGGTGGTAAAGGGATGAAGAGAGGGCCTAGATTAGTATGTTATATTAGGATCGAAAAAAGAAAAGGTTACAAGGATTCATGATGAGATGTAGTGATTGATTGATAGTTTGAAGAATAGAGTCTAGTAGTCTTACTTTGAAGAACTTGATGAAATAAAAAGGGGAATTGAAAAGGGTACAGGGAGGTAGATTATATTGAGGAAGGGGGTCTCAAAACTTGGGAGCCTGGCAGGTAGGAAAAACGAGTGGACTGAGGAAGAGGTGACAGCCAGAGAATCCTGTTGAAAGGTCTGCTGCTCAGCCTGGGCTGTGTGCACTATGGAAATAGGGGGACGTGTCAAAGTCAAGTTTATCAAACATTTTATAGATACCATAATTTTAAGCCTGTCACTTGTTGGCTCATGCCTATAATACCATTTACTCATTAGGCTAAGGTCCTAGGATTAATAGTTTTGAGAAACTCTTACCTCCAATTAGCTAGCAAAAAGCTAGAAGAAGAGGCATGGCTCAGGTAGTAGAGCCAGCCGTGAGTGGAAAAAACAGGCTAAGTTCAAGTTTCATTACCACCCCTCCCCCCACACACACATACACACATGCCCAAAAAAAAAATTAAAAAAAAATTTTTTTAAGTGTAGCCAAGTAATCTTTTTTTTTTTTTTTTTAAACCACTGTGTCCTAAAAAATACTGGATTACATTGATCTGCCAGTTACAAACTTCAGCTTTAAATGTAGAATAACTAGAGTAAAAATTTGGAACCAACTTTTATGTCAGTATAGGTAAATAACCAACTTGATTATTATCTTATTGAAAATGCCAAATACAGTGCTAAGTGAACAAAGCAAAACACTAAATTGTATACTCTAATTATATGCTTTAAACAGTTTGAATTTGCAGGCCAATTGGATGATCCATCAAGAGAGATCAGAAAAGAAGTTGTTTTGAAGTATTAAGTATATACATTCATTATTTTGAAATATTATTGCCATTATATGTATATATATACATGTATATGTGCATATATGTATATATAAATGGAAAAATACAGCCAGTTGTGATGACATATGTCTAATCTCAGCACTTAGGAGACAGGAAGATCAAAATATTAAGGTCACCTTAACTTTATAGCATAGGCCATGTTGCAAAAACAAAACAATAAGTTAAATAGAAAAATTATTTTGGCCAGTTTACAAAGCTGTAATTTAATGCTCACTTTTCCCATCACTGTAGAGTGCTTAAAGGCCTTAGGCTATATGGAACGAGCTGCTGAAAGCTACGGCAAAGTGGTTGATCTGGCCCCACTCCATTTGGACGCAAGAATTTCACTTTCTACCCTTCAGCAGCAGCTGGGCCGTCCTGAGAAAGCTCTGGAAGCTCTGGAACCAATGTATGATCCTGATACTCTAGCGCAGGATGCCAATGCTGCACAGCAGGTGGGCTTCTAACATAAATATTTCTTCTTGGTTCATTGTATTTTAGAATGTTCTCAGAGAAGTTACAGGTGTTAACTAAGGTATTATTTTAGTGTATTAAACTCAATTTTTTTTGGGGGGGGCGGGGGGGTCTGGTTGTAGGGCCTGAACCCTGGGCCTGGGCACTGTCCCTCAGCTCTTCAGCTCAAGGTTAACGCTCTACCACTTGAGCCACAGCGCCACTTCCGGCTTTTTTCTTTTTTGCTTATGTGGTACTGAGGAATTGAACCCAGGGCCTCATGCATGCAAGGCAAGCGCTCTACCACTGAGCCACCTTCCCAGCCCTAAACTCAATATTTTTGAAAAATAGTTTTCAGTCTTAAGTGTCAGTCACTTTTAAATAACTTCTAAAATACTGGATCTTAGTTATTGTAAAAAAAAAAAAAAAAAAAAAACCATAAAAGAAAGACACAACTCTCCTATGAAGATAAACAGGTATTGCAAAGGAACTTGTCATACTCATTGTTCTGTGTTTATTTAGGAACTGAAGTTACTGCTTCATCGTTCTACTCTCTTGTTTTCACAAGGCAAAATGTACGGTTACATGGATACCTTGCTGACCATGCTAGCCATGCTTCTAAAAGTGAGTAACGATCTCTCTCTCTGTCAGCCTTGTCCCTTCATTATTTGGCTTTTTTTTTTAACGGATTATACTACTCTGTAATTATTTTACTCTATTAAGCTAAAGGAAAGTCAGGTAAAGGTGAAAGACTTAGAAATTAGTGATATATAGCTGGAAGGTTGTATATGCTAATATAAACAACTGTAAAGTAAATGACATCAAATATTTCAAAATATTTTACAGATGTAAGAACTACAATATTACTCGTTATTGGCTCTGTAAGTCAGTTCTGTATGCCAAGATTACTCATTTTGTAAAAATGTTTTCCAAATCTGATATCCTTTTGAAAAACTTGGCTTTTTTATAAGGAGGCAACACCCTCAACCTTAAATGTATATGTGTAATATATGTTGTAAGGTACTATAAAGTTTATGTGAATTACCTTCATTTTTCTTTGTAAGCTGAATAATGTGACCCAAAATTTTCTTGGTAAGAAAAAAGCAGCTTATTCTATTTTTAATTTTTTTGTATAAGCTGACCTCTTTTATCTTATTAAAGGAGTTTTTTTGTGGTACTTATAGTTCATTATTTATATTTATTGATTAAAATATCTCTGTAATTATCACTATTGTTTCAGGTAGCTATGAATAGAGCCCAGGTTTGTCTGATTTCCAGCTCCAAATCAGGAGAGAGGCATCTTTACCTTATTAAAGTATCACGAGACAAAATATCAGACAACAATGACCAAGAGACAGCAAATTATGATGCAAAAGGTAAGTTGCTTTATTTTTTTTCTTTTTTTTTTTAATTTAATTTAATTGAGAACATACTGTACAGAGGGGTTACAATTACATGGGCAGGATAATAAGTTGCTTTATTTTATAAAACTTTGCTAAACTGAAAACTTATGAAGTAACATCAGACAGTAATCTAATTGAAAATTTTCAAATAAAATAACTTTCTAATCTAAATCAGTATAATTAACTTACTTGATGATAAAAGGCTAATTTTTTATTTTGTTTTGTTTTTTTTGGTGCTAGTCCTGAGGCTTGAACTTGGGGCCTAGTGCTGTCCCTGAGCTTTCGTGCTCAAGGCTATCACTGTACCACTTGAGCCACAGCTCTACTTCTGGCTTTCTTTGGTGGTTAACTGGGGATAAGAGCCTCTTGTTCTTTCCTGCTGGCTTCGAATGGGGGACCTTTAGATCTTAGCTTCTTGAATACCTAAGATTACAGAAATGTGCCACCAGCACCCAGATAAACCTAAATAGTTTCAAAAATTAAAAGGAAAACATCTGTCTGGATCTTTCATTGAAATCGTACACTAAATCTTAATTTTGACCCTTGAAGCAGAAAATGTATTTTAAGAAGTTTTTGATTAGATGACACAGTACAGAGTATTTTGAATCACTTCAATTATATGTATTCCATTTTCTATCAAGTTAACTTTTGAAAAATGGTAGTAATAGTCATAGAAACTCTGAAAATAAATTGCTGTGACCCAGTCTTGTAGGACTTTAACAGAGTCTACTTTTAGCTGGAAAAAGTGTCCAGTATGTTTGGGTGAGGTTATTCCTTAGAGAAAGCACTTTGGTAATGATTTGGTTATAAACTGGACATATTAATCTAGTGGAAAATGACTTCATTGTCAATTAATTCAATTCAACAAATGTTTATTAAATCACCGTTACAGGAGCTGGAGTTTTAGGAAGAACAGAGGACCTGACTGTTAGCTAGAGTACTGCCATTTCTCCATTCATTCTGGGTTTAATCTCAATAGCTTCTACCTCTGTCACATATATTTTAGGTCATGTTTCCTAAGTATATATTATATATAGAGAGAGATTAGACAAAGATCAAGAATACTGAATTTAAAAAACATATTTGAAGTAATTGTTGAAGCCAGCATTTGAATATTTTATTTATACAGAATCCTCTTTAACTGATCAGAGTAGGGGGAGGCACATTTGTCAGAGAGAATTAACTAGGCTTGAAGATTGTCCAGCAGCCAGAGCAGAAGGGGATCCTATTGAAAGAGTGCAATCAGACCACTGCCCTACTTTTGTTTTCCTCAGGAGAGCAGAGAGCAGGAATTCAAGCCCTTAGGGTCATTTTATTAAATTTATGTTATAATTGGTCATGTGAGTTTTTCTTTCTAATACTGCTATTTCTGAAAATATAGTGTCCTAACTGGTTTCTGTTGATCTCATTTTAGCAATATTTGCTGTACTCACAAGTGTCTTGCCAAAAGATGACTGGTGGAACCTTCTTTTGAAGGCCATATACACTTTGTGTGACCTGTCTCGGTATGAAGAAGCTGAGTTACTTGTAGATTCATCATTGGAGTATTATTCATTTTATGATGACAGACAAAAACGCAAAGAACTAGAATATTTTGGTCTGTCTGCTGCAATTCTGGACAGAAATTTCAGAAAGGCATACAACTATATCAGGTGACTTTCTAATAATGTAATTTGATTCTTTTACTAGAGTATGTGTATTTACTTTGGCTTAGCCTCTCATATTCAAGAATTAAAAGCTCTTTCATTTGTAGCTCTCCTGTTATTCTGGTTCAGTTCATTTATGATTCTTGTGATAGTTTTTGAGAGCATGCTTTGAGAGCTACATCGCCAGGGTTCACACCCCAAACCTGAAACTTACGGATTGGTCATTCAACTTCTCATGCCTCAGTCTCCCATATATGAAAGGGAGACATATAGTATTATAATGAGGGTTAAGTCTTTAAAACAATTTCTAACACGATTCTCATTTTGGGTTTCTGAGTTTGGTTAAACATCAGAGGAATAATGTAGAAATATTGACTTAAGCAGCATTTTCTGGGAAATGTTATCTTGTGTAAAGGATTTGCAAAAGTAAATTGAAGCAGTGTGCTTTTCCTTGTTGAGGAGGTGCGTTTCAGTGTGGAAGGACAGCACTGAAGGCATGCTCTTGGAAATCAGGGAGTTCTATTATCTTATTTCCTCCCCACCAACTTTCTTCAATTGTAGGATAATGGTGATGGAAAATGTCAATAAAGCCCAGCTATGGAATATTTTCAATCAAGTTACCATGCACTCCCAAGATGTACGACATCACCGCTTCTGTCTCCGTCTAATGCTGAAATACCCAGACAATCATGCCCTGTGTGTTTTAAATGGGCACAATGCATTTGTATCTGGTAGCTTTAAGCATGCACTTGGTAAGTGCCCTGATACCTATCCTTGCCAAGCATACTGTAATAAGTCTTAACTCAGTAGGCTGCCTCTAGATGGCAAATTATTCTATTTCCCTCTGCTCAGTTCTTTTTTTAATTTTTTTAAATTGGTCATGGGTCTTGAACTCTGGGCTTTGGGCACTGGTCCCTGAGCTCTTCAGCTCAAGGCTAGTGCTCTACCACTTGAGTCACAGCTCCACTTCCAGTTTTCTGGTGGTTAATTGCAGATAAGAGTCTCACAGACTTTCCTGCCCTGGCTGGTTTTGAACCATGATCCTCAGATCTCAGCCTCCTGTGTAGCTAGGATTATAGGAGTGAGCCACTGGCACCTGGCTTCTGCTCAGTTCTTTTATTTCTAAGATGAGATAATAATTGGGCCCTTCTTATAGGCCATTGTGAAAAGTAAGTTAATACAGGGTTTAAAACAATGATATTCATATAGTAGGTGGTTCTAAGTACTAGCAATAATGTAATGTTAATATTTGTTATTAAAGTTTGATTTTAAAAGTGGAAGTAGATTTTATAATTCATTTTAAAGGTCAACAGTTGTCCTGCTTAGCCTTGTTTGTTTGTTTGTTTTTTGGGTCCGGTCGTGGGGCCTGAACTTTGGGCCTGGACGCTGTCCTTCAGCTCTTCAGCTCAAGGCTAGCGCTCTACCACTTGAGCCACAGCACCACTTCTGGCTTTTTTTTTCTTTTTGCTTATGTGGTGCTGAGGAATCGAATCCAGGGCCTCATGCATGCAAGGCAAGCGCTCTACCACTGAGCCACCTTCCCAGCCCCAGCCTTGTTTGTTTGTAAAATATGTTTTTATTAATTGTGGACATTTTGCCACCAGATTGTTCTTTGTTGTAGTACAAAAGGATTCAGTTTACTGAGAATTGTTCCTTTAGAGTCAGGTTTTTTTGTTTTTTTGTTTTTTGTTTTTTTGGGGAGTCCAGTCGTGGTGCCTGAACTCTGGGCCTGGGCGCTGTCCCTCAGCTCTTCAGCTCAAGGCTAGCGCTCTACCACTTGAGCCACAGCGCCACTTCTGGCTTTTTTCTTTTTGCTTATGTGGTGCTGAGGAATCGAACCCAGGGCCTCATTCATGTGGCACTGAGCCACCTTCCCAGCCTAGGAGTTAGGTTTTGATATCAAAGTTTACTTATATAATAAGTACAATTCTAATTAAAGGAAGTACATTAATCATTTGCAGTGAGAGAGTTCTGACATAATCAGAACAAGAATACCTAACTAAATGTTTAAACTGAGAATTAGGCCTGTGTCTTCGGCTACCTGAAAGCTAGTTCACTTCCGAATTACCTGTGATTTTGAATTTTAATACTTTTCTGTTTTTGTCTATGTGGCTGATGTTTTTGCTAGTTTAATATTTTGAAAATATAAAAGCAAGATTTTTTTTTAAAGTTTCTAGATTGAAACTTTTACACAAGGTAAAAATGGAAAAATCCAAATGGCAATCTACCATCTCTGCTTCTAAAGGAACCCTTTCGTATACCATTGCTTTTGAAATAGATTTTTAAAAAATTATTCTTTTATGTGAAAAATTTGCTTATATTCTCCTACCTTATTTGGTGGGGTATGTTCATTTATCTTGGCTTAGCTCTTGTACTCAGGAATTAATGAGCTATTTTATTTTTAGCTCTCCTACTTACTGGTTTAATTCATTGATGACTCTCATTTGATTGGCTTTTAATATGAAGTAATTTTCATGGAACATGTAGAATTCATAAAGCCCTAAATTGTTAGGTACATTTAATTTTTCTAAGGGAAAGCAAGTTAGTTGCTGTATTTATGAAAACATTACCCACCCTGGTCTAAAACACAAAAACTGCTTTTCCTTTTTTCACGTCATAATCTTAAGATCAGTTAATTTTGCAAAAGTATTCACCAAATCCAGGCATGGTGGCACACATTTGAAATCCTAGCACTCAGGAGGTAGAGGCTGGAAAGTAAGTCATGGGTTTAAGGCAAACTTGAACTACTTAGATCCTATTTCTAAAAACCAAGGACTGGGAACATAGCTCAGTGGTAGAGTACGTGCCTAGCATGTCCTGGGTTTGTTCCTCAGCACTTGAAAAGAAAAAATTGCCAAAAGACACATTCTCTCATTGCTTGTAAACTATCTTAAGAAAATAGGTTATGATCACATAGATAGGTCTTGTTGTGTGTAAAAGAAAGCTAAAGTTACTTTTAGTTACTGATATTAATCTTTATGATCAAAATATATTTATGAGAACATCTGATAGCATTTGCTTTAAAGTTAAAATTAAGATGGAATTTAATTTTAATTTGTTAAATTAAAATTAAGATATTTAAAACTAGTAATGCTTGGCCCTAAATGCATAAGGACCTGCTTTTGTCACACCCTCTGACTAGTCTGCTCATTTTCCAGGTCAGTATGTGCAAGCCTTCCGCACCCATCCTAATGAACCTCTCTACAACCTCTGTGTGGGCCTGACCTTCATTCACATGGCATCCCAGAAGTATGTGTTAAAGAGACATGCTCTTATTGTGCAGGTAATTCACTTGGATTTCTCATTGTATTTTTTGTCCTTTAAAAGTGAATATATTTAATGCTTTTAAAATTGGTTTCAAAAGTAATACCTGCTTGGAATATGCGCTGGAATATGTTCAGCACTCATGGAATTCAGCATAGAGCTTAGCTCATGCTTGACTTTCTGCAGCAGGGCAGTAGGGAGCAGGGGAGGCAAGTTCTGTGGGAATTTTCGTGTAGGCTCCCTAATGCTCTGTAGTCCTGAAGTCTAGCTGTCCTATGTTCTAAAGATCTATGTAATTTAAATTAGGTTTTGAGAAGATGTAATTATGTGTATACATTTGTTATATATTATATATTATAATTTATATGGTAGTATAAAATATACATATTTCTTTTTCTGTTTGGTAGGGTTTTTCCTTCCTTAATCGATACCTCACTATACGTGGGCCTTGCCAGGAATCCTTCTACAATTTGGGCCGAGCCCTCCACCAGCTAGGGTTGACACATCTTGCCATCCACTATTACCAAAAGGCCCTGGAGCTCCCTCCACTTGTGCTTGAGGTATTGTACAATTTTTACTTCATCTTTAAACAAATGCAGGCTGGGAAGGTGGCTCAGTGGTAGAGTGCTTGCCTCTCATGCATGAGGCCCTGGGTTTGATTCCCCAACACCACATAAGCAGAAAAAGCCAGAAGTGGTGCTGTGACTCTAATAGTAGAGTGCTAGCCTTGAGCTGAAGAGCTGAGGGACAGCACCCAGGCCCAGAGTTCAGGCCCCATGACCAACAAAAAAAAAACAAAAACAAATGCAGCTAGCTAATGGAGTAAGTTAAATAAGTTATTTGTGTGTTTTTTGGTGCAGATGTGGTGGCATAGTCCTACAATTCTAGCACTTAGGAGACTGAGGCAGTAGGATGTGCTATCTAGTGAGAACTCGGAAAAACTTAAGTGTTTTTTGATTATGTTCAGCAATAGGGAGATCTTTGATGTCCTGATCTCTTATGAGGTCTTCAGCAACTAGGCGAGTATGTATAATTTACAAGAATGATCCTCTTTCAGTTATCCTAAGTGTTCCTGTGCTTTTCAGATAGGTACTGATAGACACAAAGCCTGAGTACTGAGCATTGTGGCCACACTTCATTTCCAATTTAAGTATATTTAAGCTGTCATAATTATTTGTGAAGTCAAAAGACTAGTATTAATGTGGGTTCTTATTTTAAGATAAAGCATTACCACTACTATGATAATCTTTATTTAAAGTCCATTTTCTTTAATTCTTGAAGAAAAACATGACTGTCTTCATTGTTAGTCTTTAAGTAAATACATACACACGCATATGCACACACATATATTGGGGGGGGCAGCGCTGGAGTGTAAATTCAGGCAGGGCCTTGGGCTTGCTCAACAGGTTCTCTTATCACTTGAATCCATCCCAACCCTTTTTTTTTTTTTGGTCGGTTATGGGGCTTGAACTCTGGGCCTGAGCGCTGTCCTTCAGTTCTTCAGCACAAGACTAGCGCTCTGCCACTTGAGCCGCAGTGCCACTTCTGGTTTTCTGAGTGTTTATTGGAGATAAGAGTTTCATGGGCTTTCCTGCCTGGGATGGTTTTGAACCTCAATCCTCAGATCGAAGCCTCCTGAGTAGCTAGGATTACAGGCAGGAGCCACCGGTGCCCAGCAGTCCCAACCCTTTTTTGCATTGGTTATTTTCAAGATAGGATCTTGCTTTAGTCCCAGGCTGGCCTGGACTGTGATCCTCCTGTTTGTTCTTCCTCACCTTACTGGGATAATAACTGAGCCAGCAGACACAGCCATTATGCTTCCTCCATAGCTGTGATAATAGTGCCCCATATTATTATCCTTGGTTGATATTTTTGGTCTTTAAGCAAATTAGACATATACTTCTGTAGTTATGCTAATAAATTTACTTCTGTGCTTTAAATTTATAAATAGCTTTATGTATTGCTCTGCAAACTTTTTTTATAAGTAGCATTTTCATTTGTTTTAGGTGTTTTGTTTTTTTCTCTCTTTTGACTCTAAAATTCTCTGTTGGGGAAGATTGGAAACAATGATCTATTTTGTGTGTATGTGTTTGTGTATGTTTGTATGTGTGTGTACACACCAGAACTGTGGCTTGAACTCAGAGCTTCACACTCTTGGCTTTTTAGCTTAAATCTAATACACTACGTCTTGATCCACATCTCCACTTTTAGTTTTTGCTGGTTACTTTGGGATAAGAGTTTCTCAGGGGACGGAGAAATTGAGGGAGAATGAAGGAAAGGGTGATATTGACAAGAAGCACTGTACTCATAACCTGACTGACAGAATTGTAAACCCTTTATAAAACTATTTAACAACAACAATAATAATTTTTTTAAAAAACTTAAAAAAAAAACTTCTCAGATCTGTCTGCCTGAGCTGGCAAGATCTCAGTCTCCTGAATAGCTAGGAGCCTGGTGGGAACATTGGTATAATTCATTTTGTTAAGTTTGATGATTGTGATATCTAAAAATTTTTAACACAAAATGATGTAGTACCATGTGATGTATTGGTATGAAATTATACTGCATAGTGTTCAGATCAGAGTAAACATATCTGTCTCCTTAAACATTCATTATTTCTGTATAGCAAAGGCATTCAGAATCCTTTCTCCTAGTCCAGAAAAGTTTGAGACACCCCTCCCCCCCTTTTCAGCCCACAGCAAGGTTTCATGGTGGGTGTTTGTCATCCTGGCTGAAGGATGACAGGAAGCCTAGAATAGATACACTGTGGTCTAGCTGAATTCCTGGGCAGTGCATGTAAAACTCTTGTCTCAAAAATAAATAGCGCCAAAAAGGGCTGAGGTGTGCCTTAGCTGTAGAGCCAGCTGCCTGGAAAACACAGGTCCTTTGATAAGAAATGTACTCATTATCTTGCCCATGTAATTGTAACCCCTCTGTACAGTATTTTCACAATAAAAAAAAAAAGAAAAGAAAACACAGGCCCTTGAGTGAAATCCCAGTACAACACTCCTCTTACCCTAAAGATCTAGTTTTTGGTGAATAGTACTCATGTGTACAGTAGTAATTTTTGTGATAGTAATGAAGCTTGCTGTATGCATCCTCAAGTTTTAGATGTTTGATGAGTTCAGGAAGGAGGCTACAGACTTGAACCCTCCACCCTAGAACTCTCAGTCCTTTATGCCTCACAGAGGGACACACAAATTCAAGCCATCCACTACTCATGGGCTCTTAGATCTCAGTCTCATAGTAACCTAGCGGCCTTGGGGCTTGCTCCTGGTCACCCACCACAACCACTGTGCCCTCTGCAGCTGGAGCTTCCCTTGGTGGCTCTGCACTAACCCTCCCCTTCACACACTGCCTCTCGGGACTCTTCCACCCTGGCCCTGTGGCACGCATCCTCAGGCTTTGTGACTTGGGATTGTGCTCATTTTCAGGTCTCCAGAGTGGCTCAGAGTCAGACAGGGCCCTCTGGTAGCCCCCAGCTGTAGCGCGCTTGTGGGTTTAATGTAAGCGATTTATTTTCCAGTAATAGCTGCCATACAGTAAGAGTTTGCAGGGACTGTGGTTTCATGTGTGAGTGGGACTATCAGCCTGTTGTCACCAAAGCTGCTGACATTACCTTCTGGTTTGTGCTTCTAGCTTTCCTCCCCTGGAGAGGCAGTGTCAGAGTGTGTACTGCTTCCCACTTTGCTCTGTGTTGCTTTCCTGTTTCTGTGTGTTTTTATTTTATTTTATTTTATTCATAAGTTCGTTTTATTGTGTAAATACCATACAGAGAGGTTACAATTACATGGGCAAGATAATGAGTACATTTCTTCTTATTATTTTTTTTGGGGGGGTGGGGTCCGGTCCTGGGGCCTGAACTCTGGGACTGGGCACTGTCCCTCAGCTCTTCAGCTCAAGGCTAGCGCTCTACCACTTGAGCCACAGCGCCACTTCTGGCTTTTTTCTTTTTGCTTATGTGGTGCTGAGGAATCGAACCCAGGGCCTCATGCATTGCAAGGCAAGTGCTCTATCACTGAGCCACCTTCCCAGCCCCTGTGCTGGTAGCTTTAGTGTGGTCTCATATTTAAAATATACTTGGAACTCAAAAAATTAAATCCCCCAACAACAAATCTTCAAAGAAACAGCTGCTCAATAAGTGGGCTAAAGACTTAAAGAGAAACTTCTCTGAAGAGGAAAAAGGATGGCCAATAGACACATGAAGAAATGCTCAACCTCCCTAGTCATAAAAGATGCAAATCAAAACAACACTGAGATACCACCTCACCCCAGTTAGAATGGCTAGAATCAAGAACTCTAATAACAACAGATGCTGGAGGGGATGTGGACAGAAGGGAACCCTATTGCATTGTTGGTGGGAGTGTAAACTTGTTCAACCACTTTGGAAAGTAGTATGGAGATTCCTCAGAAGGCTCCACATAGAGCTCCCCTATGACCCAGCAATCCCACTTTCGGGCATTTACCCAAATGATCATAAACAAGGTCACTTTTTTCTTGACTGTCACTGTTCTTCCTCTTTCTCTGCTTGGAATACAGTCTCCCCTAGGTTACCTGGACTCCTCTCATTTACAGAGTCTCACAGAAGAAGCATCTAGTCTGCCACCTTACCCCAGAACCCCAGGATATCTTTCTTGAGTAATGTGTTCTGGTTTGGGAGATTTTTTTTTTCCCTTCAGTTTTTTGAGTAGCTTACCTTTTCCCCTGCTGGCCTGTGAGATTTCTGATGAGAAGTCTGCTGACAGTTATGTCTGAACTCCCTCAGGTATCATTTCTTTCCTTTTGCTACGTTGAAATTTCTCTTTGACAGCTTCTGTTTCCCTGGGGGTAGACTTGGTTGAGCAGGATCTGGTGGGCTTTGATCATTCTGTGCTGAGATAATTATTTGTATTCTGCCATAGATTTGGGCAGGTTTTGTTTTTTGTTTTTTTTTTGGGGTCTGATCGTGGGGCCTGAACTCTGGGCCTGGGCACTGTCCCTTAGCTCTTCAGCTCAAGGCTAGCGCTCTACCACTTGAGCCACAGTGCCACTGCCGGCTTTTTTCTTTTTGCTTATGTGGTGCTGAGGAATGGAACCCAGGGCCTCAGGCATGCAAGGCAAGCACTCTACCACTGAGCCACCTTCCCAGCCCCATTGGGCAGGTTTTTTAAAAAATTATTTTTCTTTGAATAAGCTTTCTATATGTTTAGCATTCTTAAGTCCATCTTGAGCCACAATAACCTAGATATTTCTAGTTTTAATATTATCCCAAACTTTTATTGTTTCTTCATTCTTCATTGCTTTTTCTTTTTTTCTTTTCTATTTGCATCTTTTGTTGTTTGATTTTTGCCATACATTGTTCAGGAAGTGCCAAAAACAGTTGTCTGTTCCCACAGACTCTGCCCAAGGCTAGTGTGCGTTCCCATATCTTGTCCTGTTACCAGGGGTTCTTGTCCAGGAACCTTGGAATTCTGCTAGGACTAAGCTTCACTTTGGAGGAGCCATTTTAGGCTTCTAAGCTATAACTTTGCACCCACCTCAGTCTTCCTCTTTCAGCTGCACAGGTAGCTCATTTCATGATACGCTATATAGGGTTGGAGATGCAAAGGGGTAGATCCTCCTTCACCAGTGCTGAAACCCTGCATCATACCCAGGGCCCACAGCTTGCAGAAACCAGTGTAGTGCAAAGGAAGAACTCGTCTACATATTGCTTTGGCCTGCCTGCTCCCGGGGTGTTCCATGTCCTGAGAGTACTGCAGCCAGCCAGAGATGACCCTGGCCAGAATCCAGCTTCATTTCACCACAGCACCAGAGGCTCTGTCATGAGCACTAGCCTGGAGATAGGGGCTACCAAGTGGCATCTTCCAAGTGGCAATTTTACCAGCTTCCTATTGAGACAGAAGGAAAAGTACTGTGCATAGCTCCCTGTCTTCTCACTCTCAGCATATGGAGCCTTTCTTCATACTGGGTAGTACAAGGTTGGAAGGGAGAGGTAAAGGAAGTCCCTTGATACCAGGCTCACATACATCAAGAGGCCGTGTGACCCCCACCCATAGACTGTGGTGTAGGGCTCTGCCAGACACTGGGTTGTTCTAACGCCGCAGCTTCGTTCCTTCTTCCTGCTATGTGGTTTGAAGTTGGTGGAGGGGTAGCTCAGGGAACTGTCTGCCTTCTTCAAAACATCTTTTCTTGCTATGCTGAAACCAGTTACTATGATTTCTCATCATACCTTTACCTGCCTTTTCAGGTACTTCCCCTTTTAATGGAGTGCTTCATATTGGTGTTTTCCTTTATAGTTGCTTTTTTTTTTTTTTTTGGGTCAGCCGTGGTCTTGAACTCTGGGCCTGGGCGCTGTCCCTCAGCTCTTCAGCTCAAGGCAAGCACCCTACCACTTGAGCCACAGCACCACTTTGGCTTTTTTTCTTTTTGTTTATGTGGTGCTGAGGAATCGAACCCAGGGCCGCATGCATGCAAGGCAAGCACTCTACCACTGAGCTGCCTTCCCAGCCCCAAATCATACATTTCTTTTGAGATTTGCTGTTCCATCCAGAGAAAGCCATGTGACATCAACAGATGGCTGCATAGGATTTCTTGAGTGGTTACGTTGTACCACAAAGACAACCATGATTATCTGGGATGATAATAATTATCAAGGAATAGTTCCTTAGCCAAAGGAGCTAAGAATACCACTCCTATCAGCCAGACAAGCTAAAATCAAATAGATCTAAGAGCCACACCTGTAGTTGACTCTTTGAGTAATCATTAAAACACAGCCACCATGTCCTGATAAATTTGTCTGTGCACTGTTAGAAGTGTTCATATTGTTCAAATTCTTCCCTGTTCCGACTGTAGGTGGCAATTTCTTCATTAAGCATCCCAGGAATGGGTCAGAGAGAGGGATTATTAGTGCAGTTTGAACAAAGAATCGCATTAGGGGTATTTTTAAAATTTAGCCATTGGGTAGACTGAGAGGTTTGTCTGGGTCTATGGATGTGTTTGAATATGACGGAAAATATAACTGTGTTACCAACTGACAGTTAACTTCTAACTACAACATCATGCTGCCAAATGAAAGACAAACGAGTCTTGCTAGAACTGTGCATCTTGTTCCAGTGTTTACTAGTGGAGGCCACACTTACTGTCCTGATTTGCAGCCTGAGTGCCTCTGGTGGTGGCAAAGGTGCCCTGGTGAACTCCGTTGTACATACATCAGGCGCAAAAGTTGTTCCTTGAAGTTTATACAACACTTTAGGAACCAAGCTAAAACTTACCAGGTATTGGAGAATTCTGGAATTCAGAATTAGTCCCATCTACGATATCTCATGAAAACTCACAGTGAATGATAATGAGTGCATCTTATGGTTTGTTCCTGAAGCATAACTTTTCTCTCTACAGTCATCCTTCTTTACCAATGTCACAGTAAGGTCAGTTTGTTTGCAAACTAGGTATAGATCTTGTTAGTATGTGCAGAGGTCTATCCAGGATAACCCTGTAGGGTCCTTTGAAATATTTTGTGTTTGAGATCTGACAAGGAATTTCCATTGGGCTTTTAAAAGCCAATTGGCTGGGATGCCAAACCAAGACCAGCTGCAGACTTTATCTGTTCATGTAATATCTGGAAGTTCCAGGACCTGCTAAGAAGTGATAGATTGATCCTGTAACTCCCTATGAAACACAGAATCCCTAAAACCAGACTTCCATGTAAACCCTTAAATATATGTAACAGCCAAAGCTGACATTTCCGATTGTATCCTTTCATAAAGATTTTTGTGTATAAAGTATATTTTACGCAATTCTCTGCAAACAATAGATAGCTAAAGAGAAAACTGTTTCCTTTGTAAAACAAAACAAAAAGGAGGGGCTGGGAAGGTGGCTCAGTGGTAGAGCGCTTGCCTTGCATGCCTGAGGCCCTGGGTTCGATTCCTCAGCACCACATAAGAAAAAAGAAAAAAGCCAGAAGTGTTGCTGTGGCTCAAGGGATAGAGCGCTAGCCTTGAGCTGAAGAGCTGAGGGACAGCGCCCAGGCCCAGAATTCAGGCCCCACGACTGGACCAAAAAAAAAAGCAAAAAAGGGAATCAGCGGTATTTGAAAGGAGGAAGAGTCATGATACCCACCTGTAATTCCTTCATCCACTAATTCCTTCAAGCCCCTGCCAGATGCTCCTGGGCAACAGCCTTGCGCAACATCAGGTGTTCTCCTGCCCACCCTCACCTCTGCTGGTCAGATCGTGCATTCTGAGAATGTCAGTTACCTTGCACCTCCCAATCCTTGTGCTCCCCAGCATTGCAAATCAGTGCTGGAACTCCAAAACCAGAATGCTTGGGGTGGAGCTGAGTGCAAAAACTGTCTGGCCAAGCGGGGCGCCGGTGGCTCACCCCTGTAATCCTAGCTACTCAGGAGGCTGAGATCTGAGAATCGCGGTTCAAAGCCAGCCCAGGCATGAGAGTCCGTGAAACTCTTATCTCCAGTAAACCACCAGAAAACTGAAGTGGCGTTATAGCTCAAGTGGTAGAGCGCTAGCCTTGAACTGAAGAGCTGAGGGACAGCTCCCAGGCCCAGAGTTCAAGCCCCATGACTGACAAAAACAAACAACAAAAAACAGTCTGGCCGAGAGGGAGTTAACCTGAAGCCCTAGGGCCTTCCAATAGGGAAAGAGCAGCATGCTTGCCTGCAGTCCTAGCCTCTCAGTACCTGACAGCATCTTCTGGTCCCTTCATTCTGAACTGTAACTGCTTACTTTAACAGTCTTTAATTTTTGTTCTAAAATAGAGGTGATTCTGTAAAATAGAATTCTTAGTGTTTTGTTTGAAAGGTCTTGCTGTGTTGTCCAGGCTGGCCCTGGAACTTGATTCTTCCTGCCTCCGCCTCCCTGATGTTGGGATTTGGGGCATATCAAGCCCTCATGTAGTTTGAAACACTGCTGTTATGTATAGGAGGACCTTTCCCAAGATGATGTTACTCCTCTGTATTTTTTAACTCAAATCCTTAGCAGCTGAAGTTTATTATGCCACAGTTTACTAGCAATAACTTTTTTCTGTGACTTACTGGTTAGACATTTAAAGTATTTGGTTAAACTCTTTAGTATAATGATTAACTGTAAAAGCATTTGTCCAAGGCATAATTATTATATATATGTGAAAATTTACATATTTTATACAAATTTTAAAACTTGGCAGCTCACACCTGTAATTCTAACTACTCAGGAGGCTGAGTTGAGGATTTCATTTAAAAGCCAGCCGGGGTAAGAAAGTCTGAGACTTTTATCTCCAATAAACTACTCAGAAAAAGCTGGAAGTGATGCTGTGGCTCCAATGGTAGAGCGCTAGCCTTGAGCACAAAGAAGCTCAGGGACAGCACCCAAGCCCTGAGTTCAAGCCCTAAGACCACTAAAAGCAAAACAAAACTGTTTGCCATAAAATTGTCTTGGTTGGCAGTTGGAAATATAAAAATACATTTTTTTTCCTTCCAGGGTATAGAAGTTGACCAGATAGACTTACGAAGAGAGATCGCCTACAACCTGTCCCTCATTTATCAGGGCAGCGGGAACACTGCCATGGCCCAGAAGCTCCTCTACACCTATTGTTCTGTGTGAAGCAGCTGCTGTGTGCGGATCCACCTAAGGGTTTATTGTTCTTAACCTCCCAGTGGGAATAAACTAGTATTCTGGTGTATTTCAGCTTTGCCCTCTGCCCCTTACCCTGAAAGCTACAGCTGTGGGCTGGGGATGTGGCTCAGTGACAGAGCACTGGACTAGTGTGGGGTTCAGTTGTCAGCCTGTGAAAACCAAACCAAACCAAACACTTCTGATACATGTGAAAGATTATTGTTCCCGAAGAAATTGTATATTTCTTGTTTTCCGTAACTATCTATCCCTAGTACTGAAATGGATGGTATTAGTCTCTTATCCAGCTTGGAGTTGAACTTAACTAATTTTTCCTTTAGTTAATACTTCATATTAAACAACTATATACCAGGTACATTGAGGAGGTGCTGGGAGTGGGGTCGTAAGGCAGAGGTGGTCATGTCCTGCGGCCTGGACGGAGTTCATCACTGACAACTGAGAGGATCTCCACTAAACCCAAGTCTTTATGTTCATCTGAAAGGAGCGCTTGCTGTCTTCCAGCATGCAGCATCATTGACCCATTCCTTAGACCCTGTTACTATTACATGAGGTGCTTTTTCTAATACATGGAAAAAGAGATTGCTCATTGAAGGAAAGAGAAAACTGGACTCTGTGATGTTAAGATATTAATATAGATCAGTACCTGAAAGAATCATTTAAAATTGTTAAACAGTGGGCAGGCAAAGATTGATGTGAACTTTCACTTTTCACCTACTTGTGTCTTGTTATGTAGACTGACTAGAGACTTAGCCCTGGGCTTAATTCAAACCATCCTGGTCCATGGCAAGTAAAAGCTTTATATGTGCAGCTCCCCAGCCAGAAATAGAATAGACTGCATCCTGTAACATGTCACATTTGCATTTCATATCACTAAGAATATAGGAAAGGTTTGTAAAGTTGATGTATACACAAAATAATAAAATATTAATGATTTTTTTTAAGTTAAAAGACCTTTTTCTTACCTCAGTGTATGTTTTGGAATCTAAGGTAAAGATACATGCTGATATTCTAGCATGGCTTAGTGGGTTTTTTAGGGGGAAATAAACACTGTAATGTGAAGTCCAGTTGTGAAAAGAAAACAAGCTTGAGACTTAGGTTGTGAGACTCACAACTGCTTATACTCTGTACCTGACTTTGTATGGAGAACAGGGCTTATATGTAATAAATGAGTGTATCATGTACTCTGTATGTGTGTACATGTAATTGAATAAATTCTATTTTTGTAATGGAGACATCATGTGTTCATACAATTATGTCTTGCATCAGCAGGTGGTGAGAAAGCTGAGTGGAGTAGTGGGTTAGATTCTATATTGGGATCCTGTGGGTCTGAGCTGTCTCTATTCAGAGTTTCCTTCAAACTACACTCCCTACACTGAGCTGGTAGATCTAGAAAGTGGGGCGCTGACGTCAGCTGAACTCGTAGTGATCATATCTTTTTTTTTTGGTCGGTCATGGGGCTTGAACTCTGGCATGAGCGCTGTCCCTCAGCTCTTGAGCTCAAGGTTAGCAAGCACTCTCCCACTTGAGCCACAGCACCACTTCTGTTTTTTCTGGTGGTTTATTGGAGATGAGTCTCACGGGCTTTCCTGCCCGGGCTGGCTTTGAACCATGATCCTCAGATCTCAAGCCTCCTAAGTAGGTAGGATTACAGCCATGAGCCATCGGCACCTGGCCTAGTGATCATTTCAAATGGCTATGTGGTGGGGAAACAATTGATTTCATCTTTTACTTTTCACCTGCATTGGTTTTAGCTACACAAGCTGAGAGCCAGGTATATATACAGTAGCTGCTGAACTGATTTGGAGGAAACAAGTCTAAGGATTTTCTAAGAAAAAAGATTGGTTTTGAGAGTTTAACGTTTAAGAACACACGTCCTGTTGGGAGAGAGCAAAAGAAGGGGAGAAATGTACTCTTTACCTGATTTAGTAACTGTAATGCCTCTGTACATCACCTTTATAATAACAATAAAGAAGCCAGCTCCCGTGTGCTGAGTGCTCCCTACTTCACCCAGGGCTTAGTACATTGTTGGTACGTGGGCTATCTTATTTCTAGCTTTCTGACAGTCACTTGCAAGGGAGATGGTGTGGCTGTTATTCCCACTTTAAACTTAGGCTAAATGCCATGGTTAGGGTCGCTAGACAAGCTAGTCCTTGCTTGGCGATTTTTCTAGAGGAGCATGCTTATGCCAGCTAAATTGAGTATGAGCCAGCTGTGGTGGTGCACTCCAGTAATCATGCATCATGGCACCAGTGCCTAGCAGAGGAATCTGGTCATGCATGATAGTCATGAAGCAAAAACAGGAAGAGGAGAGCCATTGTCTTCTGTCCATGCCCCTTCACGCAGGACCACCTACTTCAAGGTTGGTTGCAACAGTTGTGCCTCACAGTCAATATCCAAATGGCAATTGATGTGGGATGCTGCCAGTATTCAAACTGAACGAGATAAAAAAGCAGTGGAAAGGGGGAAGGGATACCAAATCCGTGAGGATAGGCTAAGGGAGAACTACAAATGAATTTGCATGTCCATATTCCTTTGCTTGAGAAGGGTACTGGACAGATTGAAAGTTGATCTCTGGTAGCTCATGGCCTGGAGCTAGCTTGGGACCATGATTTTCCTACCTCTTTCTCCTGTATAGTGCCACACTTGGTTTACTGGTCTAGGCTTGCCTCAAACCACAAACCTCGATTTTTGCCTCCTAAGTAACTGCAATTACAGATATGTGCCCCTATGTATGAATTTTGTGAGTTGCTGTGGATTAAGACACATAGTCAAGTATTCTGCTCAGCCACACCTTGGTTACTCATACAAATTCTTGATCTGATTCTCCAAGAAAACTCCTCCCTCCCCCCACCACCCAATGTTTTTTGTTTGTTTGATGTAACTGGGTCTTGTACTTAACAAAGAGGTGTTCTGCCACCTGAGCTATGTTCTTAGCCTTACTGCTTTAGTTACTTTTCAGATAGGATCTAAACATTTTTGTCCAGTGTCAACCTCAGACTGCCACCCTCCTACCTATGCCTTCTATGTGACTGACATTACTGGCATGTGCTACCATACCCAGTCCTTCCCTCTAACAGATTCTTGCCTAACCTTACATGCCATTTGGGTTCTGAAGGAGCACAGGAGGCATATTGTAGATAATACCTGAAAATAGAAAGTTGAGCTGCAACCATCCAGCTGGATGGGGAAGCTAGAGAAAGATGCTTTGGGAAGGATGGATGCATGAGGATGGGCGCGGTGAGTCCATCCTGGCCTTGTGCATCGGGGGCTAGAGCACCACTGATGAGAGCATGACCTCGGCTCAGAGGTCGAGGCATGAGTGCAAGTTTGTACACTTAAGCCTTCAATATGGAGGAGAGGACAGTCAGTTAAGAACTCGGAGGGCCCTCCAGGTCACCCTGTGTACCCAGAACAAGTTAGCATTTATGCTCTGGGCCAGGAACACCACTCCCTCATTTCCTGAGCCACTGGCCCAGGCTTCTTCACTCGGAGATACCAGGCATGAATGAAGCCCAGCGTGTTATTCTGAGAGCAGAGGACTAAGGGAAAGTCTCCGCACCACAGTGACATACCCCAGCTGCTCCAGAATATTGGCATCACATTGGTATCCTGTAAGGAGGGGATCGGTGGACACTCTGAGGACTGAAACTGCCAGTCCTGGCTCAGGAAGCCTGCCAGGTGGCACGCCTTGCCCCTGAGTCTCAGCAACTTGTTGACACTTGGCTATCAGCAAGAATGAGTCGTTCATGATGGTATGCCTGAGGAAAGATTCCGAATGAAAGCTGCATAAAAGCAAATGTATGGGGCTGGGAAGAACTGAAAAGCTACAGAACTAATAAGGAAGTAGAAATGAGATTGTATATGTTATAAAAAGGAATGAATTTAAAAATTATACATATATATATTTGTAATTATAGCCTTTTGGAAGCAAAGATAGGATTCAAGGCCAGCAAGACCTGATCTCCAAAATAAGTTAAGCATAGGATGTATATGCCTGTAATCCCAGCTATCCAGAACTAGAAGAGGAACATGGTTAGAAAGTGGCCTGGGCTAAAGAGCAAGACCTTATTTGGAAATAAACTAAAAGCAGAAGCAGTAAAGGTGTAGGTGACCCAAGTAATAGAATGCTTACCTAACAAGCTCAAGATCCCAAGTTCAATCCCCAGTACAGCTAAAAAATAAAAATTAAAAATAAAGAATGAGAGCCTTATGAATGCCAAAATGGATTCAATAAGGAAACAGAGATAATTTAAAAAGATAGAATGGAAAAGTAGAGAGATGAATAATCTCAGGTTGCTATCCATCTCTTCTATTTCATTTATAATTTCAGATATTGGATTACTTGTTTTAGTAGGAAGAAAATACTCCAGCAGGGATTTTTTCACATTCAGCAGATGGCAGTATTTCTATAAATTTACAACTTGTACTTCAATATTTCATTGTCTTGATACAAATGAAAAACTTTAAGCTTTTTATTCTGATAGAAAAAAAATGCTAGTCTTCCCTTTCTATATGTGAGCAACCATACCGAAAAAGCTTTGTTTATTTGCACTGCTCACAAGCATGGGGAAAAAAATCTAGAACCTTAAGTCATATTTCCTGCTGCCCATTTTTACACCTTGACCAAAAAGAAAAAAAAAAAAGAAGAGGGAAAGAAGGAAGAAAGGAAGAAAAAGAAGAAAAGGAAAGGAAAGAAAAAAGGAAGAAGGAAGGAAAGAAAGAAAGAAAGGGAAGGAGGAAGAAAGGCCAGGCAGATGTCAAGGTGATCACATCACAAATGAAAAGTCTCATCGTGGCTTTACAGATCACATACCATCTTTATTCTGCTTACAGACTGAAAGGAAACAAGTTTGTGTCAGAATGAGCACAGACATTATAGTAAAGACAGGTGCCTGTGGCCAAAAAAGGGATTTCAGCAAAGTGTAGAGGAGAGAGGAAATGGCACATACCTCTGGTGCTGTGGTCTGCAGTGCCTTGAAAAAGGGCACGGGAGAGTCAACAGCTGATTTAGTTCCAGACATGTCAGATACGCTCCTCTTTAAAAGCTACTCTGTATAGTTGTTTCTTGGTGAAGAGGGTCTGGAATGCAACAAAATGCATGTTATTTAAACACGCCTCAGACAATTGAAATATCTTCTAATAGCAGGGCTTACAGAATTCTGTCTAGTTTGTAAAGAGAAACATAGAAGTTTGTATTGTGTGTGAGGTGTGATACTGCATTTTCTCCACTTCAGGCGCTGGTTTGTCTCGTGATCAAAGGAGGAGGGGAAGCTGACCACTAGAGAGAGCATGGCTCATGGAATGTCCCAAAGGGCCAAAGGCTTTGTGCTGTGAGCAGCTGGCAATACCTGTCAGGCCTTGTGGAGGCCAGCAAATCCCAGAGCAGCATGTGCTGTACCCATGGGCCCTAAAAATAGTGCTAGTTGTGACTTAACATGAAAAAGGTTGGAGCTGGGCGCCCGTGGCTCATGCCTGTAATCCTAGCTACTCAGGAGGCTGAGATCTGAGGATAGCAGTTCAAAGCCAGCACAGGCAGGAAAGTCTGTGAGACTCTTATCTCCAATAAACCACCAGAAAACTGGAAGAGGGGCTGTGGCTCAAATGGTAGAGCGCTCGCCTTGAGCTGAAGAGCGCAGCGACAGAGCACAAGCCCAGAGTTCAAGCCCCACGACTGACAGAAACAAAACAAAACAAAACAAAACAACAAAAAAGGTTGGAAACCATTATCTTCAGGTTGTAGATTACAGCCAGTTTCAGAATGAGAGAAGAACAACTCACATTGACAGTATTTGCAGGAGATTATTAAAGTTTAAAAATACGCTAGGTTCCACATCATTAAATGATAGGATTGGTTCTCCACTCCCCCTGCCCATACACACTTTAAATCCTTTCTAAAAAATTTTTAATTGTAAAGGTACTATACAGAGGGGTTACAGTTACATGAGTAAGGTAATGAGTCCATTTCCTATCGAGCATTGTTACCCCCTCTTTTGTTTTTCCCCTACCACCCTTCCCTCCCCAACTCCTCCCCCCACCAAGTTGTAAAATTCATTTTCAACATGTCTGTATGTCTCATCGTTAAAATGGGTCAATCTGTATCCTTGTTTCAGCATTTTGTTAGTTCTCTTCCCCTCCCCAAATTAGAAAAATGTATATACAAGATGCAGGGCACCAGAATCAAATACAGTAACAACAGGGGTTATACCATGGGGGAAGAACATGCAAAAGAA